ATTTTTTAGTTTTCGGCGGACACAACATCTTTGTTTGTATGTGGTGCTGAGGATCGAACCCGGGCCGCACGCATGCCAGGCGAGCGTGCTACCGCTTGAGCCACRTCCCCAGCCCACAGCTCAACTCTTTTAAAAATTTTTATTCAAAGGATCTCTGTACAATGTTTGTGGTGCATAGCCTATCCTGTGTTCTTTGCCTACAAGTTACATTTTTATATTATAGGCCTTGTTTCATCAAGTAGATTCTAAGCTTCTTTGTTAACCTATGTCCCTCCCCCAACAACTAACAACACCACAAAGTCTGGAAACTATCACAGTGACCTGCATATAGCTGGTACTCAACATGTGACTCACAGTCTTCATAATCCTGGACCAACAGAATGAGAATAAAGATTAAATCTAGCTTACCACCTCAACACTCCACGTGTTGAAAACCAGATCTTTAGAGTTTTGTTCTGCAAGTTCTTCGAAGGAAACTTCTTTTGTTTAGAAATAATTATTTCTTGATTTCTGCTTTCTTTGCGTATTATCCCAATCCCTAGTGATCAGAGAAGATCTTAATAGAAATTTCTATTTATAATTGATTATATCAGACAGATATTCCTTAACTTTATCCTAATAAAAATAGGCAAAGTTATTTAAATTAATAACTGCCAACTGTTCTACCCTGGTGATTCTATCCTACTCAGAGTAGTAATTACAGATTTTTAATATTGTGTTTTATTTGTTTGTTTATTTATATGGTGGTACTAAGGATTAAATACAGTGACACTCTACCATTAAGCTACAGTCTATTTTTTTATCACATATATATGTGTATATGTGTGTGTGTGTCTGTGTGTGTGTGTATATGTTTCACTAAGTTGCTGAGGACCTTTCTAAAATTCTGAGACTGGCCTTGAACTTGTGATCCTCTTGCCTTGTTTCCACCTGAAGTTACAGGCATGTGCCACCGAGTCAGCAGTGATATTTACTTAATTGCTGTGTGTAAAGCAATATGGTAGTCAAAAAGATGAAGGCATATTATGATTTCTTGGCCAAATATAAATCAACTTCAAACTACTTATTCAGAATAATTTCTCTTCAATCTGTTCCTATATATATCTCACTATTCAAAAGCTCTTATAACTTTACACCTAAATTATACAAATAATTTGTCTCATTTCAAGCTATTCTCTACTCCTCTACTCCACTACGCTGGAGTCATCTTTCAAAAAAAAAAAAAATACAAATTCAATCACATTACTCGTTCTTAAGACTCTTGGAATAAAATGGAAATTCTGTGGCATAGCATGGTACTTCAACATTTCGTTTCCTATAATGTCTCCAGACTCAGTTCTAGGTAGTCTTCTATTTGTTTGCTTATTCTTCCCACCTTCAACCTGTTGCCCCCTTCAGTTTGGCAATCCTCCTTGCTCTAGGTAAACTCCTATCTCCATTCCAGATTCTAACAACCCATAAGCTTTTTCTTATTCATTCTGTTCCTACCCAAGATATAATACACATTTTATATAATATTTTTCATATAATATTGTACTTATTTGTATTTTCAGCGTCTAAGCTTCTTGAAGGGCTAGCATTCAATAAATAGAGGAATAAATGAATCTTCACTTCTTAGAACAGACTGCTCAGGTGGTAAAGAATTCTAAGGCAAGTAGCAAGTAAGGCCTCCTACACTGTTATAATGCAGATGTTTTATTTACTTATTCAACAGATTTGTAGCCCAGGTCCCCTACAAGTAAATCAAGTAAAACATTTATTTTTACTTTTGGCTATCTTAGAATAGGATCAAAGAAAAAACTGGAAACTAGCTATGCTGAAAAATTGCGCCAAAAAAAGAAAAATGAAACTATAAAACTTAATTTATAAAAAGACAAAGCTATACCATACCTTACATTTTCAAATTATGTGGAAGCAAAACAATTTTTTTTAAATCAAACCAATTCTAAAAATAATTTMTATTTAAATTCTTCTCCATAGCAATTAGAGATACCATTTGGCTACTTGGGCAAACTATCTAGGATGTATTCAGATTAAGTAAAATATTAGGTCATATTTTAATCCATGACCTTGATGTCTTAGATGGATATAATTATTTTTTAATGAACATAAATTCTGAAAAGGAACTGCTAAAGTCCACTAATGTTAGTAACTTTACATTAAAAATTCTCAAAAAGGATATCTATATTCTAATTTGCTTTTACCTTAATTGGGATCTCAGAATCATACACTGCTTATTACATTAAGATTTCTAAATCTATCATATTTGGTAAAAATTAATCCAAAGTTTTTTTAAAGAATAATTTTAAATGCCTATTTATTGGATTAAACATTTTATTCTTCCCGAATATTCCAATTCAAAAATTTAAGTCCTAAAGTCAGCAAGACAAAATAAGCAGAGTTGTAATGAACACCTGAACTTAAAATTAGAAATCACTTTGCAAATCTGAAGACTATTTAAAGGTAATTTCAGCTACACAGTTTTATAGTATTTCCTAGGATGAGTAGTGTAGTAGGTGGGCAAAAATATTGTACTAGAAGTCATAAATTCTAATTTTGACTCTGCTACAACTAGCTATATGGCCTCAGGGAAATCACATTTAGTGAAGGAGATAAGCCTATTCACTTATAAAATATTTTTCTCCTATTATGAGTTTGTGAGTGCACAAGATTAATATACATTTTTAAGAGTTTCTCTTAAGTAACTTTTGTGATTCAATTATAATGTACTGAAATTCTTGAGACTTTTTTCTCTCCATCTGCCTTTAAAATTGACAACAGCAACTGCTGTTCATTCTCTCATACTTCCTTCCTTCCCCCACCTCTGTAATGCATTATAGGCTCATAACACATTTTGTATATAAAAATGACACTAGTGATCCATAATTAGTGGGTGACTACTGACACATCAACCCTTATTCTGCCTCACTTTCCCAGTGACCCGTTGGCTAAGTACAGACTGTGGTTATGAAACAGCATTTTTCTCCGTGTGAAGCCAACCAACTCCATTAGCTAAAATAAGACTGATGATCCTATACTTACTAGAAAAACAAATTTAAATCACTCATCTTCATTAACATTGAGCACAATGAGTTTTGAGGGAAAACTGTTATTAATTCTATTATGCTGTTATTGAACATCAGTCTGCAGAAAGCCTAGGCAGACATCTACAATCCATTTCGTTGAACATAATAGTATTTAGTCTATGATCCCGAAATACAGCCCAAAACATTCAGGTTAAGAGAAAAAATATGAAAAGGTGATGAGTATGTAAGCACTACCTACGATGGGACCCAGAAAAATCCTAAATATCATATTTGGTTAAGTTGCAGAGACAAGAAATCTGGATTGAAAACAAGTAGCATTAGGAATCTTAGCAAAGAGTCTGGAAAAAAAAAAAAGAAAGAAAGAAAGAAAGAAAGAAAGAAAGGCTGTGCCTGTATGTTTTCACTGGAGAATGTCATTAAGCAGTCAGAACTAAAAACAAAACAGCAAGGGAAAGTCACCCGACTGGAAGGTGTGCGCCAGCATCAAAACCGAGGTTTACAAAATTTGCTCAGGTGTTAACGTGGGTTAAAGAGCACGTGAAATCTTTATGTGAGGACTCAGTGTAACGTTGAAGTATAACCACTAACTATTCCTATCAGCCGTGCATAAGTACACTGGGGCCTTTAACAGAATAAAGTATTCGGACAAAAAAGCACGCAACGAGAGGACAAAGGGTCAATGTCACACCGAGTGTGCCGCCCCAAATCTGGGCGCTGTCAGGAAAGAGGGAATGAGGAATATATTCCAAGGATGAGAAGAAATCATCCAAGGTAAGCGAAAATGTGTGCGTGGAGGTGGTGGTTGGGAATGAATATATGGCTACCGCTTCTTCACTCCAAAAGATGCTACAATAGCGGAGGAATGGCATCAGGCCCCCGGGGTTGTAGTGGGTGCAGAAGTGGGCACAGAAGCGGGTCGTAGAGACGCGACATTTTAGGGGGCTTGGCGCCAGCATCTCCCCATCCCCCAGCAAAAACGTGGGCCCCCCTCACCTGGGCGCCACCGCCCGGCAGCGGCGGGCAGCGGGGAGAGCCAGGGGACACATCCAAGTCACTCTCTTCCTCAGTCTCACCCTCTGCCCGAGGGAGGCTCCAGGGTCCGGGCGGCGGCCACGGTTGTTCCATGTCCAACTGGCCGCAGCCCTACAACCGCCACTGCCAACGGACTTGGCGTGAATGGAACCTACTGCACCGAGCCAGCCACCCCAGCCAGCCGGGGCCGTTACCCAGAATCCCTCTGCCGGCAGCGACGCCGACGCACACCCGCGCTGGCCTGGCCGCGCAACTAGCGGACAGCGGAAGAAGTACTCAGCTCGCTGCGTCACTTCCTGGTGGGCGTGGCCTGGGCGCGGCCCAGGTCTTGAGTCTCGCGCTCGCGCGTGGAACTGGAGCGCTTTCTCGTTTAAGTCTCGGAAGTCTTTCAGCCTGCCAATCAGTCCGCGATGGCTCCATGGGTGGTGAGATGTTAGTTAGCGTTAGATACTGTTGTTTAGTGTTCCTTACTCTGTAAACCGCGGATCCTAGCCTGCGGGAGTTACTTGGACGGTGTCCACTTTGCGTGTTTTTAAAGCTGCAACTTGTTTTTGTACAGTTGGTATATAAACCAGCAGGTCTAAGGCGGAAATGGAGAGGGCTAATTTTTTAAAAGCAGAGCCAATTTACCTCTCATTTCGAATTACCCGCAACAAGAGAGTTCTGCAAAATTTGGGAGGACAGGGACGCCCTAGATAAAACACTGGAGTGAACACGGCTCCAAAAAATTAAGACTAGTACCGCACCTATGGAACGTGTGATCCGTATTTCATTTAATTCTAAAGATTTGTGTTCGTACTATCAGGCACCCCGCTCTCCACCGCCGCCTGTTTTTGAGAAGAAATAAACTGAACGTGCCCGAGGTCACACATTTAATTTAAGAGGAAGGGCTAGAATCCAGCCAAGCAAGTATAATTTCAAAATCTGTATGTTTAATAATCAAACCTTGCTGCCCTACTCATAGAGTCTCAAATAAGAACAGCAAAACGCCACTCTTTCTTTCAGTCGATTAGACTAGCACATTTTTGAATTTGATAAATAATAAATGTTGACCAAAATACAAGGAATGCTGTCGGAGAGAATGTCAGTTGTACAACCTTTTGGGAGGAGTAAATTAATAATATGAAAGGCTTAAGTGCTTCAATTCAGTAATTTCAATCCCAGGAAATTATCCAAGAATTTTGCGCCAATATTCAATGATCCATATACAAAGATGTTTTTCAGTGGAAAGAAAAAGCCAAAAAAGAATTGTTTATCAATAGAGGACCTAAATTATGTCATATTGCTACAATGGGATACTAGTCTTATAAAGAACAAATGTGCTGATTTAGAAATATCTCAAAAGTGAATTGAGTTAAATAACAAACAAGTTGTGGAATTAGATATATATGTATGAATCCGTACAGATCTTMTTTGTATCCAAACAAGTCACCAGTTGAATGGGGTGGCTGATCCCTTTAATTCTAGCAATTCCAGAGCCTGAAGCATTAGGAACACAAGTTGGAGGCCAGCCTCAGCAACTTAGTGAGAGGACTGGGGATGTAGTTCAGTGGTAGAGCGCCCCCAAGTGGAATCCAAAATACCAAAAACATACAAATAAACAATAACAAGTCTGTGTGTGTGTGTGTGTTTGTGTATGTAAAATTTCTGGAAGTATACAAGAAACTTGATTACCTCTGGTGGGTAAGGCTGGGGAGGAAAGTTTCTGAGGGTTTTTATTTTCTAGTTAGCTTTCCCGTATTGTGTCAATTGGATATTTTCAATGAATAAGTAAAAGTGGAGAAACACTGCACCTAAGCCTTTTGAGTGTAGGAGTGAAAGCCAAAGGAGAAAATGAGAAACAGAAAAGGAAAACACTTTTTTCTCTTTGCTTCTTTGAAGCCACAAAGTGCTTTGAGCAGTGCCTGGAAAAAAAAGTAAGCTCTATATAAATCCTAAATTCTAAATAAATGCCAAGTTGTTGTTAGGATTATTATTGGCAATGGTTTTTCTTCTACCTCTGAATACTTCTCAGTCTCCTTCCTCTAGCTGATCTCTAATTTTGGAATCCCTCAGATTTTGACTAGTGGAGAAGATTTATCTATCACTGTAGCCTTAAATTAAAAAAAAAAMAAAACAAAACAACAACAAAAAAACCCTTGTATTCACAGCCACCAAACTAAAATCAAGCCCAGACTTTACCCCAGTCCCTCAAACTCCTCTACTTACTGATTTCATATTTTTATTTGAATGTTTCAACCACATTTTAAGTCATATATATATGATCCTACTCCTTTCCCCAAATCTCTTCTGGTCTTGTCTTAGATCTCATTGGCTAGAACTTACGAATAATAATTCATTCCCTGGAGTTGAATGCACTGCCACCCAAACAAAACTGGGTTTCTTTTAGCAAGGAAGAAGCTAAGTATGCGGTAGGCACTGTGTGCCACAACTAAGTTCCTGTGCAAGCTAGTGGTAGTATAATTTGAGTGAGTGTCAGTTCCTGCCAGCATCCCCTTCACAGTTTTCCCCTCCCAGGGTTCTCTTTGTATGATCTTTGGCCTCCTTTTGGTTCCTGAAATATACCAATTTCTTTCCTGACTCCTGGCCCTTTGCATTTGATGTTCCTTTCACCTGCATATCTTTTCATTTGAAAGTCTTGGCTAGTGGTCATGCTTCTCTTTTAAGGTCTTAGGTCAAATGTCATACCCTTTGGGAGCCAAGCTAGCCACTAAATCTAAGCCAGATTCTCATTTGCTCTCTAACCTGTAACCTTCTGTCTCATCACTTTGGATATTTCCTTCTTGCCCTTCATAATACTTTTTCTATTTATTCTCACTTGTTAATTATTAAGTTTCTTCCTGCAGTAGAATGTAAGCTCATGAGCATAGTTTGCTTCTTATTCACCTTTGTACCTAAATTGTTCAGAACAGTGCCTGTACATAGTAGGTGTTCAATGAATATGCCGTGAATAAATGGATGGAAATAGGAGTAAATAGATGGATATAAATATAAAAATAAAAATGCAAGATTAAATAAAGACAGAAGAGAACCAAAAAAGAACACAGGTATATTTTTGGTAGGAGACAAATACATATGATCACATAAGAAGTAACCTCATCTTGAGCCATTGCTGGCTTCAAAGCATGCATCTTATGTCCCAAAACAGTAGACACACTTTTTAAAATTTTACAAGTTTTCTTTGTTTATATGGTACTGGGAGTTAAACCCAGGGCCTTCTGCACGCTAGGCAAGTGTTCTACCTCTGAGCAACATCCCCAAACCCTAGGCCTGCCTCCATCTTCTTTTTTTTTTTAAACAAGTTTTAGAACTTAACTATACTCTTGTCTGCTTTTTTTTAATGTTGCAAAATAAAGTTTCTGAGAAATTGCTTGTGTCATAATTTGCTTACTACTCCCAAAGATAAAGTGCTAGCCAGCTGAAACTTAAGGAGCAGATTAGTTTCTTTCTGAATATAAATTAAGTTTAAATAGAAGAACTATATAGTACAAAATGTCCAAGAGAAGTCATAATTATTTAAATATTAAGCCTACAAATGCTAGTGTATTGAACACAAGGCAAAAAGTAACATAGTCTGACTCCTGAACTCTTATAAGTTTTATGAAATAGATGTCATGTGTGGGCCCAGATCCCAAATGACTTCAGGATTGTTAAAAGCCATTCAGTTGTAATTTGATTCTTTCTCTTGAAAACACTCCTAGTACTGGGAGAAATTCTGGAGAAGTGGGTACACTTAAAGAATACTCAAATTTCCAGCTCCTGTTTTGGATTAGGAGATCACTGTTCTTACAACACAGTGCTTCTTTCCCCCTTTAAATGAATTTCCCTCTCAATTACTTTAAAATGTTACATACCACAATAATTTGCTTAACTTACCTATATTAGAGGTGAAGAGATCCATCATGTTTTTTGTATACATATGTGAGTCTTCTATCAAAGAGAACTGCATGTAATGCCACCAAGAATCCTTTTGATGGACTATTTTAGGACAGAAGTTCCACAAAAGGCTATGATATTTTTTTAATTTAACTATATTGATTTTTTAAAAATGTGATTATGAAATTTTTTTGCTGGTACTGGGGCTCAAACCTAGTACCTCACCCATTCTACTCAAGTACTCTACCACTGAACTACAACCCCAGTTTATTTTCAGACAAGATCTTGCTAAGTTGCCCAAACTGGCACTGAACTTGCAATCCTCCAACCTCAGCCTCCCAAGTAGCTGAGATTACATACAGGTGAGTGTCACAACCCCCAGTTGTGAATATTTTTAAACACATATTTACGATAGAAGTACAGAAACTTTATCCATCACCCAGATTCAATAATTATCAAGATTTTTCTACATTTGTTGTATCTATTCCTTTAATGCATTTACTGAATCCTTGAAAGCAAAACCTTAGCATTATATCATTTTATCACTACATAATTTAATATGCATCTCTAAACAATGTTAATATTTGTCTTATATAAACACAAAGGTTTTATCATACCTATAAAAATTAATTTTTTGGTATTTAAACCATAATCAAATTTTCCTGATAGTTTCTATAAGTTAGTTTATTCAAATTAGCTTTCCAATAAAGTCCATATATTACAATTGGTTATTAGGTCTCAACTATCTAGAGAAGTTCTCCTCACTACTAGTACTTCTTGCTTTTCCTTCCTTCTTCTCCTTTCACTTCTTTTCCTTCTCCTTTTCACTTTTAATACCATTGACTTGTTGCAGACTGAGGCAGTTGTCCTATACAGTGTCCCACATTCTAGATATTACTATTATTAACATGTTCTCCTCCCCCATTCACTTCAAGTGAAGTTAGCTTTAGAGTAGTGCTGCCCACTAGAACATTCTGTGATGATGAAAATATTCTACTTGCATTCACTAGTACATAGTCACTAGCCATATATGGCTATTGAGCACTTTGAATATGACTAGTGCAAATGAGGAACTGAGCTGTAAATTTATTTAGTTTTGGTTCATTGAAATAATTATACATGGCTAGCATATTGAATAATGCAACTCTAGTAGCTTGATTAGATTCAACTTGAACTTAGCGAAAGTGCTCCATAGGTGCTTCCTATGAATCATGCAGGGAGATACTTGATGCTACCAATAATGATGTACAGTGATATTAGGACTGATCCTGCTCATGGAAAGTTTTCCCAAAGGGTATGATTTTAACAGTAACCTTTGTGTGTGTGTGTGGCGGGGGCGGGGGGGGGGCTGGAGATTGAACTCAGGGGCACTCAACCACTGAGCCACATCCCCAGCCCTATTTTGTATTTTATTTAGAGACAGGTTCTCACTGAGTTTAGCACATCGCTTTTGCTGAGGCAGGCTTTGAACTCTTCATCCTCCTGCTTCAGCTTCCCAAGCCACTGGGATTACAGAGGTGCACCACTACACCTGGCTTAACAATAATCTTTAAAAAAAAAAAAACATTAATTACATCTTTATGCAGTTTGTGGGAACCAAGGAAAGAACCCAGTGCAATTCATTGAACTCATATATATTCACAGTAAAAGTCAAAAAGACAAAATGTTCTCTTATATCAGACTGTGAGAAAGCTAAACTGTGAAAGAATATTTTAAAGAAAGTCTTCGAAGGATAATATAAAATACAGTTATTTCTTGGGTCTGGACACTGTGCCTAAAAACAGAACAAAACAAAATCAGTGTTCTGGAAATGCATTACTCCTGAAGCAATCAATTGTTCTATATACTTGGGACTTTCTTTCTTCCTTTTTTTATTTTCTGCAGGCATTTTTCACAAATGCTGATGAATAACAACTCACTTTGGAAATCTAATCTGTTAGTGTTTTTTACACTTACTAATGAATAATTCACTGGCTCCAAAGATTTTAGGACCTAACTCAGTGTTCTCCACTGAGTTCAGACATGAATAAATGGCTTAAGACAGGAATTGACGGTCTTTTTTTAAAAAAATCACTTATTATGGAATGTAGCTGCCTTTGGAGACAACTATAAGGAGGTATGACTATGATGGAGAGAGAAGGCCCTCTTGTCTTTGCCTCATCAGATAACTCAGGTGGCCCTTTTCTTGTGATTAATGGGGAACTGATAGCAGGTTGGAGGGCTCAGTATGCACTGAGAAGTAGCTCTAAAACCTGATGTGACTACCCTTTTGGATGCTGAAGAAACCTACAGGCTGTCTTCCCAGAACAATACACATTTGCACATGCAAGAAAGTTTGCTTATCCGTTCAGGAATGTTAGGGCCTCTGGGATAGGATCACAGAATTAAAAAAAAAAACAAAAAACAAAAAAAMCCCACAAAACCAAACAAAAAATCCTCTGCCCTGGAAGTGGAAGTGGCAGACATACTTTGCATGGATACTTTTGTAGCATGCAGTACATAAAATATGGTCCCAAAATCTGAAGAAGTCAGTTCTTGCTCCTTCCTATATTCCCAGATTCACCCTTTCTATTGTTTTATGTTTCCTGTTTGTTTAGGTAAAGATTCCTCTTCTGTACCCCAGATTCCCTTCTCAGAGGCAAATATTACTAGCAGTTTCTGTTGTATTTTTTCAGGAATATTTAAGCATGTAGGAAAACGTAATATTCTGCCTTCCAAAAAGGCAGCATATCATTCACATTTTTGAGCCATGCTCTTTTTCTTAGTTCTATATTTTAGAGATTATTATTGTTTGTTAGGTCTTATAGCTCTGCCCCATTCTTTTTCCATGCTGTGTAATATTTCCACATGTGGCTCACTCATAATTGATTCTATCAGACACTGCTTATTGAACATTTATACTTTCTAGTATTTTTTAATTGTGAATACTGGTACAGCATATGTCAGTGTTTTGTGAAAGCATTTCCACGGGATAAATTTCTAGCAGTGGAATCACTCAGCCAAATTAAATTTTTTGGTAGACATTATCAAATTGTTCTCCTAAGAAGTTATGTGGTAGACAGAATAATGGCTCACAAAGACAGTTCCTATATTATTTCCTATAATGTTACTTAATAAAGGGGAAATTAAAGTTTCAGAAGGAATAAAGATACTAATCAGCTGACCTCAATATAGGAACCTTTTTGTCTGACCGGTCCCAATGTAATCATAAAGATCCTCAAAAATGGAGTAGAGAACCAGAGAGATATGGCAGCATGAGAAAGACTTGGATTGATGATGCTGGCTTTAAAGATGGAGGAAGGGAGCTTAGAGCCAAGGAATTCAGGCAGCTTTTAATTAAAAGTGTAAATGCAAGGATGCAGAAAAGGCAAGGAATGTAACCCTGCTGGTACCTCAATTTTAGCTCAGTGGGGTCCACAAAATTGGAAGATAATAAATTTGTCTTATTTTAAGCCCCAAAGTCTGTGGTAATTTGATATAGTAGCCAGAGAAAACAAATATATGTATTTACATTCCAACCAGCAATGTTTCTCCATACCGTGTCCATTAGTGCCTTAAAAAAAAATAGTTTCTTCCCTTCATATGAATACAATTATTTGAAAAGAAATGTTTGTAATTTTGTGTCTTATAATTAGCTTTTTGGTTAAAAGGAAAATCTCAGTCATGATTGTCATATTCTTGTTCTTCGCACTTTGGCAAATTCTCATTTGAAGAAAGGTTTTATTTTCTCATCTGGGGCCAGGAAATAAGCAGGATGTACTGATGTGTCTTTTCTGCAATGCTGATGTCACTGCTGATCAAGGTGCACTGCAGAAACACTCTACAAGAAACACTTTACAAGAAAATATAAATTAAATATATTCTCTATTGATTCATTGAGTATCCCCACAGCAAATTAGCAAAAACAGCTGTGCCTGATCCCTTCTCATTGGGTATATTTAGCTTGCCCTCATGTGGTGAGACTGCACCTTAATCACACAATTAACCCTTACAGACTGTGGATCATCTCTACACTTAACATCTATTCCAAGATATTTATTGAGCATCTGCAATGCAAATTAATCAGGGTTCAGACACTTAGCCATGTAGAGTTAACAGATTATGGAGATAAACAGTAAACAGCAATCACAGGAACAAATGTGAAACTACTATTGTGGGAATTGGTCCAAAGGGATTATAGATGAATATAATCATCTAAAATAGTAAGATTCCACCCTATCAGAGAAAGCTGAAGAGCGAAAGTTGTGTGGGATCTGTAAATCTGTACATGTTAATTAATACCTACATTGGCTGACATCCCTAGATAAAGGATACAGAGTGAGGAAAACAAAGGACCAAGAAAAACTGTTTGGCTAGGTAGAATAGGATACAGAGACAAGAAGAATGTTCAGAGAGATGGAGGGAAACCATAACAGGGCTGGGCCATGAAACCAAGCAAGGAGAGTCCAATTGTATGGAGAAAAAGATTAGAAATAGCATACGATGGGAGGATGGACAGTGTGTCTGTAAGATCAATAGGATGTTCTTGTTTTAGGGGCAGTGATGTGGTAGGGCACACCTTGATTAAATATAACTTCTCTTTATTTGTTGTGTAGCCTTGGGCAAAAGGCGATTTATTTGGCTTTAGATTCTGCATCTGTAAATAGGGAATAACATCTCCCTCAGAGTTATTGTGGGAGAGATTAGCTCTTTGTAGATCCTCAATAAAGGTTGATTTTCCCTTGCCTTACACTAGTTACTTATTCATAAATCTGTTTTTATTGTCACTCTCCTTGATATGTTAGTATTGGTGTTGGTGACTTCATCACAGGGCTCGTTTCCAGTTAGCTGTTGTAAGGTAACAAATCAGATCTCTGGATTATAGGAAACCAGGCATCCACCTGTGTATCTCTTGGTATGGGGGAGGGAGGGGAGCTGAGCACAATATGCTAGGAATCAGAAGAGTAAACAATACATCATCATCACACTGTATTTTTCCCTTCCAGGGAAAGAAACGTCAGTGACCAAAATGAAGACCCAATTATTCTCTAGGGACGTCTTTTTGTACCATTTCCAATTGCATAAATTTCCAATGCAAAATATTAATGATAAATGATAACATAAATGTTTTTGTTGTTGTTTTCAGAGATAGCACTGTTCCTCCCAGATTTTTTGGATTGGCTAGAAGTGGCTGATCCTACCTCTCTTCCTTCATTTTTGTTTATCAAATACAATGAATGCGGGGGGGCATGATTTCCTTTACCAATTCAGACCTCTTACTTTGCCTGTCATCTCTGACAGGTTTTTACAATGTGACCCCGGCTCTGTTGCCACTAAAGCAAATGGGGACTGGAACAAACAATACACCATGTCCCTGTATTCCCTTTTTTGTTCCCCCAAATCTAGCCAAGTTAAGGGAATAATGAGAGAAATCTTGATCTGGAAAATCCAGACACATTTTATCTTGAAGGACACTGGCTTTCTCTTATGCACACCGGGAACTCGGGTGAGTGTTATTTGAGAAAGCTACTTTTTTGCGTGTTCACCAGGACAGTTGCTCCTTGGGATGCTGGTAATAGAAGCAAACTAAGCAAGCTAACGTGATGATGTCATTGTTTCTGCAGTCTAACCTAAAACCCCACTGTGAATGGAGACATAAACAGAACTGAAGGCACTGCGGGAAAGATACATTTCACTCATCCAGCTCTGCCACTGGACAGAACACCCTGAGGGAGAGGAGGCACTGCTCGGCATATCACTATGAGGGATGGAGTGCTATCAGTCAGCCTTTCTCCACTCAACTCTTATTGGAGAGGTCACTGATTTCTTGTAAGCTTCTTAAAGAGCAAACGCGTACCTTCTGGGACAGTCAATTATATTAAATTGGAAAATTGTTAACAGAAATTCCAGGACCTGGGGGGTAGTAACTACTAAAATGTGTAGTAATTAAATTATATCGGAGCCATGATTTCATTCCACTGTTAAAAAAGGAAATTATAAACATTTAAACATAGTGATTGGGACCACACAGAGTTGATGGAAAGAAATTAGTGCTCCAAACACCTGACCAGGATCCTGCTCCCTCSACAACACCCAGTAAGTCACTGCAGACAGTTGCTGCCCGGGAAGCCGCGCCCCGCACGCGCGTTCCAGGAGGTGTATGGGGCCTCGCTTGTGTTCTAGGGTCGAAGGTTGCGCGTTTGAGTGTCCATGGCAACGCGACGCTTCCGCCTTCTGGAAGCCTACGCTCTGGCGCTGGTTGTGAGAGACCGGTCCCGGTGGGAGGGACCCGGGCTGTGAGGGTCTGATGGGGGATCGAGGGGGTGGGGGGCTGGGGAAGTTTCTGGGAACACTTCCCCAGGGGTTGAGCTAAACTAAGGAAAGTTGGTCCAAGACCCAGCACAAAGGATCTTGTCATTCCAGTCCTTTCGCCCGCGCAGGGAACGATGCCTCTGGAGGCGGTGGTGGAGCTGCAGATCCGGGCGGTAAGAGATTAGCAAACCTCTGTTCCTTAACTCCAAGTCAGACTCTTAAATGGTCTCCCCACCCGCCGCCCCATAGTTTTCACCGCTCTTCTCCCACTTGACACACACACACACACATTATTTTCTTTGGGGACAGATCGTACCTTTTTGTTCTAAGATTTTTATATACGTTTGTATTCCTGGACTTCCTAACCTTTAATTCAGATCAACCTGTTCCTATTTTTCCCCCCAAAGCAACATGTTTCTTAGCTTCATTCTGAATTTGTTGTTTTAAAACAACACTACCTTAAGTCCAAGTAGGATTTTTTCTTTTTCAGAATAAAGATTTGTGAAAGAATTTTAAATTCTCTTTTAAATAACTATGGAATAATTTAATTTTTAAAAAGCCCCATTACTTCCTGATAATGTCACATTTATGAGCCAACCAAATATTATTATGACTTTGGCTTGCTAATTCAAAAAGGGAAATCAGTCAACAAATGTTCTGTAATTATCCACCACATCCTTCCTAAATGAGGTATTGGGGCTGGGGGCTTCATTGTTCTTATTTGGGAGAGAGTCATTCTTCTTCTGCTTCCATTTTCCCATCATTCTGTAGTTAGTGACAGACTGACATTCAGCTTTGTCTCCAAGGTGCTAGGGACTTCTCTCCTGGCTACCATTAGATTATAAGACTAACAGGACACTGCTGTGGATTCTGGCTAGCTTCCATACAATTGGCAAATACTTAAGTTTCATCAGACATGTAGCTGTGAAACAAAGATAATACAATTTTCCTGGTTTTGTTCCATTTTGCTGACAGAAAATAAGGCCAGACCATATCAATTGGGCTTTATTAATTGCAAGCTCTCAAAACTGCAGAAGGTGAAGAATCTCTGGAGAGAAGCCAAGTGATACATACAGGCAAAAATTAAGTTTTCATCTAACAAAATTATTGGTTAATTTTATTTTGATTTTTAAAAGGCATTCCTCAGTGTATAATTAACAATGAAATCAGTTGTCTATTCTACAGTACTTAGRATGTTCCAGAAAATCAGTTGAATTGATCTGTGCTTTAAAAGCCAGCAAACTCAGATCCCAACAGCTAAAACAGGGAATTCCATAAGTATAACTACAAACTGGAAGTTAAGCCCCCAATATTCAGACTTGTGGACACTGCAAGAAGAAATACAATTGCTTTCAAATATCTGGCCTGAATATTGCTGCAGTTACTATGAAGGATCTAAGATTGAACAACAAACCCAAAACCACTTAGAGATTCACTGTTRGCTGATTCAGCAAGTGAAGAGGTAGTCCATGTTCAGGATATTGTAGAAATGCGAATTATTTTATTTAGGAGTAGCCATTCCTCTTTTAAGTGTGCCTCTCACTCTCAGAAAAGATCATGCTTCCCCCCCAGTCAGAACCTACTTATCTATCACAGTCATTCTCCAGGTTCCTGTCTGCATCTCTTAAAGTCCATAGTCCTTCTATTTATAAATGCCAAAATAATTGGTGGTTATTTTCTGAAGACATTAGTTCCAAAAGTAGGCTTTCTTTTCAGGTAGAGCAACATTTAAAGCACATACCTCTTTTTAGGTCAAATGAGTAAAGCCTACCAGGCATTTGGTAGTCTTTGGTCTTATGATTTGAGGCAACATGGATGAACAGCTTTAAATGTAAAGGTCAATGTAAACAGAAATTTAGGAGTTTTACCTAGTGTCTGATATAGCAGCAAGCTCCCCTGGTGAATTTCAAGTTAAATACTGTTACATAAACTATGCTTTATACAGGAAAACGGAATTCCATTTATAAAACTATAGAATACAGGGTCATCCTCATGGTATATATGAAAAAGCTTTTGCACATACATTGAAAAGAATCACATTATTTTCCTTTTTTTATTTATGGATAGAGGAATGTTATTTTTTATTCAGTAGAGATGATGGGCAGCAGAGTCTCATCTCCTGCCATGCTGGTCATTGACATAATAACCTAAATTCTCAGTTCTTTTGACTTTCCCCAGCAGCTTAGCTTCTCTGTCCTCTGTTGTGCCATGCTATTGGTTGTCAATAGAATTAGACATGAAACCAGAGTCTCATACTTACTTTTCTGTGGGCACCTTAGACATGCCCACCTTTTAAGTGTTTCTTCAAGTAGTTCTTGGTTTGTTCTCTGAGTGGTAAAAAACAGTATTAGAGAATACTGGAAAATAATATTTAAAGACCTTTTGAAAGGGTGTAGGGAAAGGAGAGAAAGTACTATAATCTTTCTCACTGCCTATTCCACAAAGATGGAAGAGATAATAAAGTAAAAAGGCTTACCAAGAAAATCAGGATTATGAAGAAATCTCCCTGATGGTAGCAACAAATCTTCAAGGAATAAACTAGAAAAACTTGTGTCTTAAAAGACTTTTAGTACTGCTTAAAGTCTAACTCAGAAAAAGGGCTAGGATTAGTACATGAAATATCTGCTCRTATATTTATGGAATGAAGATGGTGTTTCTCAAAAATTCAATTTACAAGTGATGTTAACTTACAGGATTACTATACAACACAAATCCTACTGTCAAAACCAGCAACAGTATAACCACCCCAGCTTGGTTTCTTTGCTATTGTCCTGGAGATATAAACAGTTGAATAAATATACAATAGATTTTTTTTTCTTTTTGCTTCCCTTTTTATGGCTGTCTTCCAAGGGCTAGCACGTGCTCTGGCCTAGCAACACATCAAGATGGTGGGATATCTGAACTCCTAAGGAAGCCTGAAATGTCTAAGAGGGGCAAGTGGGATGGTGGCTGATTTAGGCTGGCATCATCAAATTGTGGAAACTTTCAGCTCTCCTGTTGCCATAATCAATGAGATGGTGTCACTGTTGATTCCACAGTATAAAGAGGACCGGAGCATTGTGGGGTGAAAGCCAGCAGTAGTCCACGATGCTGTACTGCATATAGCCCAGAAAAAAGCCAAAAGCCACATCGGTGACATTGTGCCTCCCCAGCATGACCCTGGAAAGACCCAAGATGAAGGCCCACAGTACCACCAGCACCCTCAGTGGAATGGCCAGTACCAGGTGCTTCAGGATGAACCGGGACACCAGGGAGGCCCTTGTGGCATGGCCCGAGGGGAAGGAGTACTTGTCCACCGAGAGAGTGACAAACATGTCCATCTGATTGTGGGCCGGTCGTGGCCTGCGGACCAGCCCTTTGATCAGGGCCACCACCAGGAGGTCCAACAGCAGGGCGAAGAGTAGGTTCATCAGCACCTCGCGTCCAGCCCAGCTGTCGCTCCTGCATAGGCAGTACAGGGTGCCCAGCAGCCAGGTGATGCCGTGTCCCGAGATCTCCAGCAGCTTCATAAGGGGCCTCACGCTACCCCAAGACGAGCTCTCCCCTGCACACACCCCCAGCTTCTTGGACAACCACAGGTCGATGGCCAGCAGGGAGCGCAAGGCGATGCCCAGGAAGGACGGGTTCAGGTCAATGCGGTCCTCCTCGGGCAGTGAAGGAGGGGACGCCTGCGAAGATCCAGCGGCGGCCACTGGAAAGGAGCCGCGCCGGTGCACCGGGCTCTCGGACGCGCGCAGCCGGGCGCTGGTGGGGTCGACGCCCGCGGCTCGGCTGCTGAGCAGGGACTGGAACTCGAACCTGCTGCTGCTGCCGCCGCCATGGGCTGGGCTGCCGGGGTTGCTGGTGTTGCTCGAGACTGAGGCGCCCAGCGGCCGTCCCTCGACGCTCCTCCGGGGGCTCGCCATCGCGGCGGGCGGCCCGGACCCCGGGACCCGGCGGGACTAGAGAGAGGCCTCCCGGCCCTGCAGCCTCTTCCGCTTCCGCACAGCCATCCTGAAGGGGCGGGGAGAGGAGCCTGCGAGAGCGTGATTGTGACACCTGGCGGAGACGTGGGAGGGAATTGGAATTTCCAATCTGAAATAGGAGAGAACAGGGGAGGATGTTGATGCTGGGAGGTACACAGGGAATATGATGGTGGGGAAACATTTCAGGGCCTCTGGAAGGCTAGGAGGAATACAACCCTGTTAATTAAAACAAACTTTGCTTGTTCTCCCCCCCCCCCCCCATAAGATTTCTTGCCCGGGAGTGTTCCTGCCAGACAAACAAGATGTGTACCTCGGGGTTTACCTCCTGAATCAGTACGTGGAGACAGCCTGCTTTCCCTCTGTGTTCCCTATTGTGATTCAGCAAATCCTGAGATTTAAAAAGGTGATCTTGACTKTCTCATTGTATTTTGCTGTCTGAAGATAATCTAATAGTTCTTGTAAAATTATTTTGTAAATTTTCTGTAAAAACATAACCCAAAGGCATTTAAGTATAGTGCAAAACTACAGTCAGCCTTGAAGTAAAATCACAGTTGAAAGACTTGCTTGTGCTTTGCAAGTCCCAGCCAAGTTCTGTCAATCTAGTGCTAAATACCCTGGTCAATGGTTTCTATTCTTGGAACTCCCATGACATTTTTTAACTGGAGCAAAGAGAGCATTTCTGAATGTTCTTGGAGGTGTTAGAATTGCATTACATTTAATACATTGCAGACCTTAGCAAAAAAAAAAAAAAAAAAAAAAAACTTTCTTAGACCCGGAAAAATAATGAAAGACTATAACCAAATCAAGTTAAATCTTATAACCAAAATCCTGTAAGGAGACAAAAAGGCTCTTCTGATTTATTTAAGTCATACCTGGTTTATGTAGCTATAGTCATAAGGCTAGATTCCTGTTGCAATGAATACAGTCATGACACAAATAGCCCAAACACTACCCACCCACTTCCCACCTCAGTATTTAAAAGAATATTCATTTGATTACTATGCAGTTACTGGCAATCCCCTGAACTTTTTGTTTTGCATTTGGAGATGGAATCAGTTTTAACCTCAATAAAGCTAATGATGTTTCTCTAAACAGTGTCACTAAGATCTTTTGGGCAGAGGGAAGGTTGGTAGGATAGGTCTGAAAGATGGTGACCAGAAAGTGACCTGTTTTGACCTGAGGATGGGAGAGAAGATCAARATTGATTCACTGAAAGGCCAGGGTTGCATGCAATATGTTTGTAAATCACAGCCTATTAATTTAAATTAAAAATGTRCTAAACTGACTGGATAAAAAGAAAGAAATAAATGAGTATTATCTTAGAACATACAATCAGAACCCACAGGAACCTGTTTCTCACATTTAGATGTTGAAAGTGGTGAAAATGCAGCCATTTTCCTCCTAAGAATTTTCATATTAGTTTTATCAGTTTTCAATTTAATCTGTAGAAGACTTTAAAAATCTTTTAATAAGAAGCCCAAAGATACAAAATTGTGGAATCCTAGAATGATAAATCTGTAAATGACTTTGGGCAGGGGGTTGTCTAGTCCAACCTCCTTGATTTGTTTAAAAAAAGAAAGGAATGAGTCTTAGAGTCACATTTTAAATGTCACTACTGCTCTGTTGAAAAGTGGTACATTTGATATTACTAGTCAAATATATCACAGAACCATTTTTTTTTTCTGAATGAAACTAATTACCCTCTTTGTATGAGTTATTTGGGTTCATAGTGTAGTTTTCTCCTAGTCAATTCTAGCTCTTCTTTTATCTGTCCACTTATCTTTCTTCAAATACTTGCAGCAAATAGTGACATTTTCTCTTCCTTGGACCTTCTGTGTAATGCAGAATTGAATGTTTTAAAGCATTTGAATAAACAAATACCTCATGAAAAATTTATGAGCCATTGTGTTTGAACAGTTTGTGTTGATCATTTACTCAAGATCACACTTGAGAAAATCCTCAGATAAGGGAGTATTCATTTCCCAGGGCTGSTATACAAACTGAGTGACTTAAACAATAGAAGCATATTGTCTCACAGTTCTGGAGGCTAGCAGTCTGAGATCAGAATGTTGGCAGGGTCATGTTGCCTATGAAGGCACTAGGGAAGGATCTGTTCTTGACCTCTCTCCTAGCTTTTGATAGTTCCTTGGCTTTTGTCAGCATAATTTTAATATTTATATGGCTATTTATTCTTTCTGTGTGCATGCTGTTTAAAAAATTGGGGGCAGAGAGGCTATTAGGCTGGGGCAGATCCAGTGCTTTAAGTGCCTCCATAAGTAAACTGAAGCCCAATGTAAACTGTAAAATCAAACTAGAGACTTTACCAATTATAAACTGTCAACTGTCCTCTTACTAGAGACTTTCCTAATCAGAAATTGTCAACTAACCACTCTCCAGGGTCTTTCCACTCCAACCAATCAAATGTATCTTCTTGTTTTATTTCCATGTCACCTATAAAAGCTCTCTGCCCACTTGGTAGCAATTTTCTGATTGACTGCTGCCTGATTCATGAATCATTCTTTGCTCAAATAAACTCTTGAATTTATTTTGTATAAATTTTTTTAATACCTTCTGTGCTCAAATATCCCCTTTTTATAAGGAMACCAATCATATTGGATTAGGAATCCAACCTATTCCAGTATGACCTCATTCTAGTTTAACAATTACTTAATGACCCTAATTGGAAATGAGGTCACATTCTGAGGTACTGGGGTTGAGATTTCAACATTTTGGGGGACATAATTCAAACCATAACAATAGTAAAAGATGCAGTTATTGAAATAATTTAGGCAAAAAATTACATTTGCTTAATAAATCCAACTCAGAAGGACAAAAATGGATTACAGGGAAATCATACAGTCTCCCATTTTTGTTCTTAAAGCAGATATGGCTTTAGATCCAAGACAGATTTTTAACCATGTTTAACATTGTTTAAATGAGAACTCTGAAGCTTGAAATCAAAGTCTACTGAAAAAAAAAATGTTTTCCACTGAGTTGCATAATTTAGTGGGAGAGGCCTTTGTTTTAGTCCTATCCCAGGGCCTTTACTGTCAAAAACAAAATATGCAGATTTGGCAATAACTGAACAGAGCACATGTGCTTCATGATAGATTTAAGAGGCTCTCTCCCCCCGCCACCTCTGGATTCTGTGAGAGCGTAACTCCTAGTAGTGAGCTTTTTTTGTGTGTGTTAATATGTAGGCAGAATTTCTATTTTAATGTTCCTTCTTAGCAGAACTAATTGCTTGGGAAGAGAAATCATTCAGTTAACATTTAGTGAGATCTATTGTAAGCAGAATGTTTTTCTAGGTACTCAAGACTCAGGTTAATGTAAAATGTGCTTTTAGCAACAAATAGAACTAGGTCAAGTTGATGACATTTTAAGCATGTGGTAGATTTAGCCAACTCAGATTTCCTTGCATGTGCTATTGTTCTGTTAATTTCTATGAATTTGTTCTATGTTCTATTTTTATGAATTTGTACTATATTGATCTTTTAATCATACTTGTTAAAAGTGTTTCTGTTGAGTTCTAAAATATTATATGGCTGGATTTTACCGAATAACATCCTAATTATTAGGAAGAAAATAATCTACAGTTTCTGTAAGTACCTATTAAAAAACTTAAAAATGTTTTTCCCATATTTTTCTCTGCAGGTATTTGAAAATGCAATAGATCCTGGAGCTGTAGCAGAACTTTTAGAAAGTAGGTACTCATTAAAGAAAAAAAAAGATTATTCTGTGTAATTCACAGGTATAATAGTATGCTGTTTGCTGTTTTTCTAAACTGTAATATTTCCATGTTTGATTATGTTTACATTCAAGAGACCTTATGGTAAATTTTGAATCATGTTTTTGATCGTATTACAAACTTTTTTCTAAATATAGATGGAATTTTCAARATGATAAATTCTGTTTGGTTGTTTATCAATATTAAGTGAGAAATCCTATACCCATTATTAATCAATCTCTATTCCCTGCTAACCCTCCCAGCCAAATGCAAATATGGATCTTTCTGTCTTTATAGATTTGCTTATTCTGGATATTTCACATAAATAGGATTATACAATATGTGGTCTTTTGTGATTAACTTCTTTTGCCTAGCAAACATTTTGAAGGTTCATTTGTGTTATAGCATGTTCCAGTACCTCATTTCTTTTTATGGCCAAATAATATTCCATTGTATAATTATACCACACTTTGTTTTTCTACTTATCAATTGGGTTGTTTGCACTTTTAGGCTATGATGAATAATGATACTATGGATATTTATGTACAAGTTTTTGTGTGGACCTATGTTTTCTTTTCTTTCTATCTAYCTATCTATTCATCTATCTATCTATCATTTATCTATGCATCCATCTATCCAGGAGTGAGATCACTAGGTAATATAATAACTATTTGGTTAGACTTTTAAGGAACTCCCACACTATTTACCAAAGCAGCTGAATCATTTTACATCTCTTCAGTAATGTCTGAGGATTTCGCTTTTCTACATCTTGGTCAGCAGTTGTTATTATTTGTCATTTTGATTGGTAGCAGTCTTTGTGGGTATGAAGTGGTATCTCATCATTATTTTGATTTGTTTTTCCGTGATGGCTAATGATGTTGAGTGTTCTTTGCAGAATTGTCTATTCAGATCCTTTGCCTACTTTTTAAGTAGGTTGTCTTAAAAAAAATGAGTTACAAGTGTTTCATATGTATTCCATATATAAGTCCCTATCAGATAAATGATTTCCAGTTATTTTTCTCCTGTTCTTTGGGTTGGCTTTCATTTTCTTGTTGGGATTCTTAGAAACACAAAAGCTTTAAAATTGGTGAATTCCAGTTTGYCCTTCTTATATTGCTTATACTGTTGGTGTCATATCTCAGAAACTATTGTTTAATACAAGGTCACAAAGATTTACATGTAAAAGTTTTATAATTTTGACTCTTATATTTGGGTCTGTAATCTGTCTTCGGTTGACTTTTGTAAATGGTGTGAATTATGGGCCTATTTTCATTATTTTGCATGTGACTATCCATTTGTCTTAGCATCATTTGATAAAAAGACTGTAAAGATTTTGTTTCTGTCACTGAAGTCTCTTGGCACTCTTTTTGAAAACCAAGTTCCTATAATGTGAAGGTTTATTTTTAGGCTCCCAATTCCATTCCATTGATTCATATGCCTATTGTTATGCCAACACACAATCTTGATTACTGTAGCTTTGTGAGAAATTTTGAAATCAGAAAATGTGAGTTTTCCAGCCTCCAGTTTAGTTCTTTTTTCAAGACTCTTTTCAGGGGGATCACTTAAGTTTTCATATGAATTTTAGAATCAACTTGTTACTTTCTAGCTGGGATATTAATAGGGATTTCATTGAATCTATAGATCAATTTGGGGAATATTACCCTCTTAACAATATTAAGTCTTCCAATCATRAACATGGGATGTGTTTCCATTTATTTAGGATATTTTAAACTTATTTTCAATGTTTATAATGTTCAGTATACAATTCTTGCATTCCTTTTGTTAAGTTTTAAGTATTTTATTCTTTTTGATGCTGTTGTAAATTAAATTTAATTTTTTCCATTTTCAGATTGTTTATTTCAGTGTATAGAAATTTAGCTAACTTATTCTCTGATATTATATTCTGCAAATGTGCCAAACTCATTTATTGATTCTAGTTTTTGTTTATTTATTTATTTATTATGATTTTATACACACAAAATTAGATTGTCTACAAATGGAAATAACTTTATTTCTTCCTTTATAGTCTGTCTGCATTTTATTTCATTTTCTTGTCTAATACCCTGACTAGAGTTTACAKAACAATATTGAATAAAAACAATAAAAGTGATGTTACATGTCAATTTTTTATAGATGCCCTATATCAGATTGAGGAAGCTTCCTTCTGTTCCTAGTTTATATATTGTCTTTTTTTTTTTTTTTTTTGTGGTGCTAAGGATTAACTCAGGGCCTTGTGCATGCGAGGTAAGCACTCTACCAACTGAACTATGTCCCCAGCCCAGATTTTTTTCTTTAATTACAAAAGAATGTTAAATTTTATCACATGCTTTTTAATCCTTTATTTTGTTCATATGTTTATTTGTTTTCAGACATTTAGCCAATTTTACATTCCTGGAATAAATTTCACTTGATTATGGCATACAGTCCTTTCCATATATTGCGTTATTTGAAGTGCTAGGATTGTGTTGAGGATTTTGGGATCTACAGTCATAAAGAGATACTGTTGACAGTTTTGTTTTCTGGTGATATCTTGTCAAGTTTTGCTAATACTAGCCTCATAGAATGAGTTGGGATTTTTTTTATTTTTTTATTTTACTTTATTTTTTAGTTGTAGATGGACATACTATCTTTATTTTGTTTATTTGTCTTCTTATGTGGTGCTGAGGATTGAACCCAATGTGTCACACATGCTAGGCAAGCACTCTACCACTGAGCCACACCCACAGCCTGGGAAATGTTTTTTCCTCTTTAGTTTATTAGTGTTAATTTTCTTTAAACTTTTGGTAGAATTCACCATTGAAGCCACCTGGGCCTGAACTTGTCTTCAGATTGTTTTTTAATTACAGATTTAATGTTTCTGCTTGTTTTATTTTAATTTTTAAAAACTTTTTTAGTTGTATTGGACAAAATACTTTTATTTTATTTATTTTTATGTATTGCTGAGGATCAAACCCAGGGCCTTGCACGTGCTAGGCAAGTTCTACCACTGAGCCACAACCCCAGCCACTCTTTCTGCTTATTGTAGGTCTCTTCAGTATTTCTATTTCTTCTTGAACCAGTTTTGATAGATTATATCTTTCTAGGAATTTTTCCATTTCATTATCTAATTTATTATCATAAAGTTGTTCATAGTATTGCGTTACAGTCCTTTCTATTTCTGTGAGATCAGTAGTAATATCCTCTCTTTCAYTTCTGATTTTAGTAATTTGAATCTTATCCCTTTTCTTGATGAATTTAACTAAAGGTTTCTCAGTTTTGTTGACTTCTAAAGAACCAGCTTTTGGATTCATTCGACTTTATTGTTTTTCTGTTCTTTATTTTATTAATTTCTTCTTATCCTTYATTATTTTCTTCCTTCTGTTTGCTTTAGATTTAGTTTGCTCTTTTTTCCCCCATTGTATTAATATGAAAGGTTCATTAGTAGGTAACCAACAACCACTTTCTTAATCTTTATGAATTTTTCAACCGAGATTTATTCAGTTGAAAGAATTAGGACCAAGGTCATAGGTAATAGCAGAATCTCATAGAGAAATAATAAGAATTAAATGCTAGGTGACCTGAGGCAGTGCTGGAAAGAGGACAGAATCAGGAGCAGGCTAGGTATCCGGCCAAGATACTGGTGGATTAAGAAATTTGAGGGGCTAGCGTTGTGGCTCAGTGATAGAGCACTTGCCTAGCATGTGTGAGGCCCTGGGTTTGAGTCTCAGTACTATATATAAATAAAATAAAGGTCAATTTACAACTAAAATAAATATATTTAAAAAAAAAGAAATTTGAAATTATGCATCTAGTGAGTCTGTGTCCACAGATAGTGCAGGTTAGAGGCCACTGAACAAATGTTCTGAAACAATGGTACAACAGTAAAACAGGGGTTCAGAAAGCCAGGTGTAGAATAAATAGAAAATCTACAGGAATCAAAGGTTATGATCATCAGAAATAGTAAGTGAAACTTTGAAGGAGTTGATGGGATGTGGGTGTGCTCAAAACTCACAGCATCTAGAGAAAACCCTGGATCCTATTTATGCTATTCACTAAGACTAGAAAGTCAGAAAGAAGACTTGGTGGAGGGAGTTTAACTTTGGACAGATTGAGTTTAGAGTGTCAGTGTAAGATCTAAATGGAGGTGTTTCATTGCTAGCAGGCAATTAAAAGCTGTAGGTATTTTATAAAGTATTCTAATGTACTTGTTCTTTTGAAGAATGGGATTTTCAGTGAAATATCTTGTGGGTAAGAACACTAGCCCTGGGAATAGACTGTGTGGGTTCCTGTAGAGCYCTGTCAGTGTTAGCCATGTGACCTTGCTATGCTTTTTTCTTTGAGATTTAGTTGTCTCGTTCATAAAATTAGAAGATAGCTGTTATTAGACTCTTTGAGTTGTGGTGAGAATTAATTGAATATAAGGAATTTTGAACCTAAAACAAATCAAGTGCTTAATGGGACTGTTGGAGTGAAATTTCAGGCTATCTTGGATTTTAAGTTTCTTGGAATTTATATTTATTTATTTATTTATTTGGGGGTACTGGGGCTTGAGCTCAGGAACACTCAACCACTGAGCCACATCCCCAGCCCTATTTTGTATTTTATTTAGAGACATGGTCTCACTGAGTGGCTTGGCGCCTCGATTTTGCTGAGGCTGGCTTTGAACTCATGATCCTCCTGTCTCAGGCTCCCGAGCCACTGGGATTACAGGAGTGCGCCTCAACATCTGGCTAGTTTCTTTGAATTTAAATTTTGTTCTTATGCATTCATAAATCTATTTTTATGAATGCATATTTTTCATAAATCTACAAAGTRAGAATTTATTTCTATTATCTATTTTAAAATGTTTTTACTTCTAATATTATTTTGTGGGAATTATTATCTTTATTAATTTTGTATTGTAATACCATTTGTTTTAATTCACTTTTATTATTTGAGTTTTATTCTTGCCTCTAGAGATACTATAGATTAGATCATTATTTCTAAATGTATTTTGAACTCAAATAATAATAAAGTTTTATTTTATGTCTTAATTTATATAGTCATTGGTACACTGTCTTAGGTAAGATAAACTTTTATGTTAATGGGTCACAATTAGATTTTGAATTTTTAAGATGAAAAGTACACATTTTAATGCTCCTTTTTTTTTTTTTTAAATGGTACTAGGGATTGAACCCAGGGCCTATGTGCATGCAGATGCAGGCACTCTACTGACTAAGCTATATTCCCAGCCCCCCATTTTGATGCTCTTATGAAAACACTTTTTTTTTTTTTGGTACCAGAGATTTAACTCAGGGGAACTCGACCACTAAGCCACATCCCCACCACTATTTTGTATTTTATTTAGACACAAGGTCTCACTGAGTTGCTTAGTGCCTTGCCATTGATGAGGGTTGCTTTGAACTCTTGATCCTCCTGTCTCAGCCTCCCCAGCTGCTGAGATTACAGGCCTACATCACCACACCAGGCATGAATACACTTTTTTTTAAGTATTTATTTTTTACTTGTAGTTGGACACAATACATTTATTTTATTTGTTTATTTTTATGTGGCGCTAAGGATTGAGCCCGGGGCCTCACATGTGCTAGGCGAGCACTCTACCGCTGAGCCACAACCCCAGCCCTCATGAATACACTTTTAAGAGACAAAATATTACATGTTTTGTCTGTACTTTCCTGGAGTTGAAACGATATTTTTATAACTCAGATATTCTTATTTTACTCCCTCAACTTATTGACACCTGAGACCTTGTTGGTGTGGCACTTATTTTTAATTATAATTGTTACTTGATATCCATGGGAAATTGGTTCCAGGACCTCAAAGAATCCCCAAACCCACCAATACTCAATTTCCTTATAACTAATGATACAGTATTGACTTATAACCTATACCCACCCTCCCATATATTTAAATCATAGCCATATTACTTATAATATCTAACACTTTAAATGCAGTGTAAATAGTTGTTATTCTGTATTGTTTGGGGAATAATGACAAGAATCTGTACATGATATGTCTGTACATGTTTAGTACTGATGAATTTTTAGAAATATTTTCTATCCTCAGTTGGTTGAATATGTGGATGGGGAACCTATGGAAATAGAACCTATAAATATGGAGGGCTAGCTGCATTGTTGTTATTAATAATGTAAATGGAGTGTTATGGTAGTTTAATTTATAAAATTAAAACATTTAATAAAAAACTCTGACAATTTTTTGAAGTATTAAAATTCCACTGTTTTCCTTTTTAGGCTTCCTAGCCAGGTTTGAGTTAATACAGCTAGTGCCTCCAGGTAATGTGCCAGAAATGCATTTCTACACCAACTTAATTTTAAGAGGATTTTTACATGACAAAATGGGGACTGGCATTTAAACACYGAGCCTTTATATAACACATAACTTCTTATGCTTATATGTTTATATATGTGACCTTACTGTGTTTTTCTCTTTGAGATTTAGTTGTCTCATTCATAAAATTAGAGGATAGCTGTTATACCTTGGGGTTGTGGTGAGAATTAAAAAGTATATATGGAATCAGCCAAAGGTGTCTTATCAATGGATGAATGGATAAAGAAAATGTGGTATATATGCACAATGAAATTTTATTCAGCCATAAAGCAAAATGAAATTATGGCCTTTGTAGGAAAATAAATGGAACTAGAGACCATCTTGTTCAGAGAAATAAGTCAAACTCAAAAAGTCAATGGTCAGTTGTATGTTTTCTCTCATGTATAGAAGCTAGAAAGGAAAAAGGRAAACAAAGGTCGGAGTGGATCTCCTAAAAATCAAAGGGCGATCAGTAGACCAAAGGGAGCAAGGGGTGGGAGGCAAAGAGGGAGAAGGGAAAAGTTAGGAAGTGATATTAGCCAAATGATATTGTTATATTGTGTGCATGTGTGAATATGTAATAACAAATTCCATCAATATGAACAACTATAATGCATCAATAAAAATGTAGAAAAAAGTTTTAAAAAAGTGTATATAATATATACTTCTCCTCTGCCAATCTATTGACAATTMCAGGACATTTTTTGTTACCCCAGAAATAAACCCCATACACAGCAGTTATTCCTCATTCCCTCTTCCGTCCAGCCCCTGAGCACTGCTCATCTACTTTATGTCTCAATTGATTTGTCAATTCTAGAATTTCATATAAATGGAAAGCTACACTATGTGGCTTTTTAGGTCTGGATCTTTCATTTAGCCTAATATTTTCAAGGTTTAGGAATGTTGTAACATGTATCAGAGCTTAATTCCTCTTTATGCCCAAATAATACTCTTGTATACTCACCATATTTTGTTTATACATGTATATGTTGATAAACATTGGAGTTATTTCCACTTTTKGGAGATTATAAATAGTGTTGTTATGAACATTCACATACACATCAATGTGTATTTCTTTTAGTTCTCTTGGGTGAGTGTGGTTTTCTACATTATACAATAATTCTGTCAAACTTGGGAAACTGCCAAACTGAGTATGGTTTTTCAACATTTTTAGATGGTTGAATAAAAATTTTCAAGAGAAGAATATTTAGTAATGTGAAAATTATATGAAATTCAGATTTTATCATCTAAAAGAAAGTTTTACTGGAACATAGCCACATTCATGTTTAAGTATTGCTTGTAGCTCTTTCACAGCACAGTGACAGAGTTGAGTAGTTGTAACCAGATGGCCTGCAAAGCCTAAAATATTTATTATCTGTTCCTTTATAGAAAAAGTTTGTGACCCCTCTGCTACAATCATGGGACTCTAGGAGGAACCTATTCTCTGATGCTTTTGCATTGTGTCTTGAGACCTGAGCTGGTGAGAGAGGGTACAACCAGCTAATCTCATAAATAGTCTTTGAGCATGGCTCTGTGATTTTAGGGCTTTATATCTCTGTGGTGTGTGTGTGTGTGTGTGTGTGTGTGTGTGTGTGTGTGTGTATGTGTGTGAGAAAGAGAGAGAGAGGAGAGACAGACAGAGAGAATCTAAAACCCAGAAAATTCTCTTGTGATCTTTGATCTTTGCTATTTACACATTTCTGTTTTTTTCTTTCCTGAGATGAAAATAACTTCATAGTCTTTACTTACAAAAAGGATCCAAAAATCACATCATCCTGAAAGAACCATTAAGCATGTTTCTTGGTATTTCTCTGTGATTAGAGCACATTGTTACAGACTTTTTATATGTGTTATATACATATTCTATTCTTGTTAAAAAGTCAAACTCAAAAAGTCAGTGGTCAGTTGTATGTTTTCTCTCATGTATAGAAGCTAGAAAGGAAAAAGGAAAATTAGATTTTCCTCATTTTATGTCCCTGTTTCATTGTCTTTTTTTTTCCTTTCCTTTTTGGTACTGGAAATTGAACCCAGGGACATTTAACCACTGAGCCACATACCCAGCCCTTTTTATTTTTTATTTTGAGACAGGGTCACAGTAAGTTGCTTTGGGTCTTGCTAAGTTGCTGAGGCTGGTCTTGAACTTGTGATCCTCCTGCCTCAGTTCCCAAGTCGATGGAATTTCAGGTGTACACCACTGTGGCCATTGCCAGATTCACTTTTTTTTTTTTAGTTTCCACATCAGAGAGAGAAACTATAACACTTTTCTTTATGTGTCTGACTTATTTCTCTTAGCATGATGTCATCCAGTTTCTTTCATTTTTCCTGCTAATGACAGGATTTCATTAAGTCTGAATAATATTCCATCATTTCTAATGATAATCTATACCTTGATTTTTGATAGCCATGAAAACCTTAATTAATTTACTTATGTGTTTTTAAAGGGCTATAAACAGAATATCTGCAATATTTTGGGTTGGATTTTCTTATTCTACCTAGTTCACCTAGTTACCCATAGTTTATAATTTTTCTATATCTATCTATTTTCCCATAGTGTTATCCTTACATTTTATTGAGCATTTAGATTTTGTCTTTCACATATTTATAAAAATTATTTTTCCTTGGTTTATTTATGAAGAATAGAATTACTAAATGAAACTGTGCCTTGTGAATCTGGGGTTAACTGATCACCCATAAGGTTCACTGCTACATCTGCATCTGCAAGGCAGAGCATACCCATTCCCCATATCCAGCAGATAATAAGGTCCAGCTGAATATTGTCATTTGGATTTACTGTGTTTACAAAATGTGTAATAATTTATTTTTTTAGATTGATTTTTTAATTTGTTCTAATTAATCATACATGACAGTAGAATGCATTTTGACACATTTATACTTAAGTGGAGTATAACTCCATAATTTTTTTGATTGTACATGATGTAGAGTTATTTAGGTCATGTAATCATGTATGCACATAGGGTAATAATGTCCAAATCATTCTACTATCGTTCCTACAATAATTTCTTTAAGATATATTTTACCATGTTTTATAGCCCCTTTTAAAAAAAGATGATTTGTGAAAATCCTACATTTGAAATTGGCTTCTTAAAAATTTCCATTTTACCATATTGTGAATTGTTTGCTTCCTTTTCTTCTATATGAAGTGACTGTCAATGTCCTTGATTAATTGTGGTGTTTGGTTGCAAATTCCTGACATTTTAACCTATGTCTTTAGTTAGTCATAGTCAATACATATATATTCCTCTTTTTTGATTCAGTGTTTTGGTATTTTACATGTGAACGTTCCTTTTTCTTAAGAGAGCATGAGAGAAGGAAAGTGAACCTGGCAGATGCCTCAGCTAAAGAATGGGGGCAGTGGAGGATTTTGAGTGAGGATCATATTCCTACCCATAATGATATATCAACAGAGCAAGTCAAGGGCCCCTATGAAGTGATGTAGACCCAGGCAGCTATAGTTCTTTCTTCTACTTCTTGGTCAGCCCCTGCAAACAGAAAAGAACCCCACTCTGCCTGAATTTAGGGATAGACACTCTTGGATATGTCGTTACTTTTTAAGGCAGACAGAACAGAGCAGATAGATGCCTCCTACCTCCTGTTCAGAAATTCTTAGTGAAGGTGTTTCAGCCAAAAAGTGACAGGCTAAAATCAGGCCATTGAGTTTTTTTCCATAAGTTTTTTTTCTTACTTGACCTAATTTTATGTTCAAACATATATCACTGCTAAGTGGCAAGTTATATTTTAATATACTAATAAGGTAGAAGTATGCTTATTTTGGTCTTATTTAATTTTGCATGAATGAAAAATTAAAAATTACCTAAATACCTCACTGTACAAAATTTAATTAACATAGAAGTACATAAACTCATTCATCAACAACTCCTAACAGATACTTTATTAACAATTAGTTGCATATGTTTTTAGATCTTTTAAAATGAATTTGGTATATATCATGCATTTAGTATATTTAACCAACCTTAAAATAACACATGCACACACCTCTACATACTGAATATGTGAGGTGCACACTATATTTTTGTAGATGTGGTGTATGTTAAATATGTGAATTTTGCAACTTGCTTTTAAAATTTAATTCATGTTGAACTGCTGCATATTTTTTATGTGACCAAAATCCATTTTTGAGAAGGCTATGAAAATAGTTGTCTGTAAATAATGATGATTGGAGAATATTTAAACTGAGTGCATCCATACTGGTTCTAACTCACAAGTTAATCATATGCAAAGTGGGAGCCTTATTATGCTTGTTTTCTTTTTGTCTACAATCCTCCAATTTCAGATTATAATTTTAGTGGAATTAAGTTTAAATTACTCAAAATAACAATTTCACTCAGCTACAGATGCCATGCAGATTAACTGATTAATTGTTCAGCATATGTTATTGAGGGTATACTTCACATGTGTCTACCCTGTGCCAGTCTTTCTGGTATGATACTAGTGACTCCAGGCACTAATTGGTGGTAGTGAACCCTCTGGATCTGCTAGTCCTTGATACTAACCTCTTGCTTAAAGTCTTGTGTGGGCTGCACTGTGGGGTCACAAAGGCTACACTTAGACCAATTTTTCTTTGGCTGATTTGTTATGTTGCTGTATTTTGCTGTATATAGTACTTTATTGTTTGATACTTTTTGCTTCTCTTTCACTTAACCATGGAAAGACATTTTACCATTAGAATAGGAATACAAATAGCCTAAGATTTGCATATGGCTTTATGCTAAAGAATGAAGAAGTCTAGTGATTTTGCTTCCAAAAATTAATGATCCCTTTGGCTCTTAGTTTACAAAGATGGGAAAAAACTATGGACACAGGGGGGCAGTGTAATCCTGTTTGACGGTGAGCTTTGTACTTTTTATTAATCTCCTAAGCAAATACCTTGTCTTTGGGTAATCCATGTATATTCAGTATAACTGTAAAATCCTATTTTAATGGGCACCCATTTACTTAATCAGAGCTTGATTTTATACTTCACCAGTTGTGTTCACTAGGTGCCAGCACGGAAAATAGTTTTTATGAAAGTCAATTACTGGGAGTAAAGAGATAAAGAGGAGGTGGGAAACAGGTGGGAAGGTGAGTATAATTCTAAGATTAGTCTTCAGCTTCGTTTACTTCATTTACTTTGTTTGCCTCAGCTGAACTGCTTTTGAATTCTTACTTTGCCATGTGGGCATCATGAAATGTCTTAAATTCTGAGAGCTTCAGTTTCCCTGTCTGTAAAGAGAGAATCAAATGATATTCTCTCTCTAGAATCATATTGTCAATTCTGATATGCTCTATAAATGTTAAAGATTTCTAAAACCAATGTTATTAAAATTATTGTTCTTCTTAAAGACACATTCATTTCCTTTTTTTTTTTTTTTTTTGGTTAGATGATGCTACTATCTATGCCATTAGCCTATGGAGAACACTGAGTTCTTTCAGACACTTCATTTGTCCTGAGACTTGCTCAGCCTGTGAATGAGTTCATTATTTATAACTTTGACTCTTTTTGTAACGTCCCCTTACTATGCTGACATTTTCACACTTGGTGGCAGTTTGGGTGTCTGGAAAATGACCAAACCAGAGAAACTGTATTAAGAAGCTTTATAGCCTTCTATTTATTTTTCTAAACTGTTTCAGTCTATTTTTTAAAAAATATTTATTTTTTAGGTGTAGATGGACACAACACAATGCCTTTATTTTTATGTGGTGCTGAGGATCGAACCCGGGTCAGGCCCGTGCTAGGCGAGCTCTCTACTGCTGAGCCACAATCCCAGGCCCTCAGTCTATTTTTAATCTTATTATTCCGAATGTAGTAGATGAGCTCACTTCCACTTCTTTGACCTCTTATTTTAATCTAAATTCTTGCTGCATATAGAAATAATAATTTAATGTTGTCATTTTGGATGTAGTGACAAGAACTAGCTGAAAACATTTGAAAGGTAAGAGGACAAAGGAAAAGCCTATTTCATACTACACATCTAGGTATTTGTTCCCATCAGGAATGTAACCATGTTCACAGAGACCCGAGTAGCGCTGGGACAACCCTTAGGCAGGTTTTAGGGAGCAATCATGACAATGACAGGTAATGTCAGATGCTCTGCTTCATGTTACATGTGTTTTGTCATTTGTCCTTACAGTACCCCTAAGGTTAGGTAACTAGGATGATTTGTATATTTACCTAAAGAGAAAGCTGAARTTATAATATTTGCATAATTACCTAGGGTCACATAGCTGATAGATGGTGAAACAGGGATTTAAAGCCAACTTTTACTGACTCTGGAACCTGAGTTTTTATCCAGTGGGCCACAGTCTTCAGTAGAAAGCTGCTTTTGTGTTGCTAGTAATAGGGAAGGAAACTGGTACACCACTTCCCATTTTTATGTTGTACTTCATTGTTCAGTTGGAGGAAGAGTCTGTTTTGGGCCAACAAGGGTGGAGAGGTCACACCTGTCACAGAGAACACTGTAAAGGGAGCACTGATGAAAAAGGAGGCTGGGATAAGACTAGTAAATGAAGCAGAAGACTGATCTCAGAATTGTACTCACCTGCCCACCTGTCTCCTCACCTCCTCTTTATCTCTTTACTCCCAGTAATTGACTTCCATGGAATCTACTTCTTTTCACTCCTGGCACTTATAACTCTTTTTTTAAAAATGTTTTTTAGTTATGCTTGGGCACAATATCTTTATTTTGTTTACTTATTTTTATGTGGTGCTGAGGATTGAATCCAGTGCCTCAAATGTGCCAGGCAAGTGCTCTGCTATGGAGCCACAACCCCAGCCCAGCACTTATAACTTTTAACTATACATTTATTTTTTGAGGTTTTGGTGCATTAATTTTAAATATATTATTTTTAATGTGTTAGTAATATTTAATGTATTAGCACTTTTGGACTACAGACTCCAGAAGGGCAGGAATTGTGTTTATCTTGTTCACCTGTATATATCCATTCTTTAGTACTCTTGGCACATAGTAGGTTCTCAACAAATATTTCTTGAATAATGAAAGAAAAAAAATCATTGAAAAATGAATGTAATCCCATCTACTTGGGAGACTGAGATAGAATTGAAAATTTAAGTTCAGACTGGGCACCTCAGCAAGACCCTGTCTTAAATTAAATTAAATTAAATCAAATCAAATAGGACTGGGGATACAGTTCAGTGGTAGAGTGTCCCTGGGTTAAGTCCACAGAACCACATACACAAAAAAACTCATTCATTTTCTTGAATGAATATGAGGATTACATTTATCAAGTATTCACTGTGTTAGAATTATGTTGTTCTGTAGTTCTGAAGGCAGCATCCAGTATGCTATACTTTACTGTTCTTCTCTGAACATCTTTGGAATTCAGTTTTAAAATGTTTGTCTTTAGGGCTGGGGTTGTAGCTCAGTGGTAGAGTGCTTGCCTTGCATGCATGAGGCCCTGGGTTCGGTCCCCAGCACCACATAAAAATAAACAAATAGAAATAAAGATATTTAAAAAGTTTGTCTTTAACGATAATTCGAGGGGTCTGTGAAAGATGCTGACATTGTGACTCCTTTTTAGGGATGATTGTCTTAGTCTGCCCTGTAATTGTTGAACTGCCCTGAGTTCACACCTTTCTAGGGGCAGCCCTGTCAATAGAATAGTGAACAGAAAAGACAAAGTCAGTGTTTTCACAGAGGAAGCAGATCATGAATAAATACATGAACAACAACGACAACAACAACAGTGATAAATGTGATATCAAAAATAAAATAGAGTGATGTAATGTGGAACACTCCTTTGGGCTGAGTTGCTAACTTTCTGATGAGATGATACTTAAGTCAAGTCTATCATTTGATAGGAGGGAGCCAGCCATTCAAGGGTCAGGGGGAGGAATACTACAGGGAGAACAGTAGGACAAAATTCTGTAATAGAGGCGAACTTAGTATGTTTGAGGGACAGCAAGGATGGGCAGCAGTGATGACAGGAAACAGCCCAGGGGGAGGGTAATAAATAAAGTAGGAGAAGGTTACGAGAGGCCTGATTATGTAGAGTCTTGAAGGCTGGGGTAAGTTGCTTAAGTTTTATTTTAATATTTGGGAAGACTATTGGAAGGTTTTAAGCAGATGAAAGGCACAGTTTGATGTACTTAAAATAACACAGAGCGTGGAGAATAAGTTTGGTGGGCGATGGAAGCCGGGGGATCACCTAGGAGGCCATAGCAGTGACCCAGGAGAGAGGTTAAGGGGTGGGGCATGGAGTTAGGGTGGTAACTATAAAGATGAAGCAAAGGAAGCAGATTTTAGATTTACTTTGGAGATAGAGTCAACAGAACTTGCTAATGGAGAGCTGAATATTGGGGGGAAAATATGACTTCTGGTTCGGACCTGTTAGGATGAAGAAACTATAATGCATTTAGGATGAAGCTTGAAAGATGAATAGGATCTCAACACAATGAGAAGGAATGAATAGCATAATCTGTGGGGAATACATTGCAGAGGAGGGAAGATTGAGGGAAGATTCATCATCAGTTTTTGTGGATCATAAGCTGGATCATGTCTGGGAAGGCAAGTGGAAAGAAAATATAATATTCCAACTGTAATATAAGGGAAAAATAAAGGACAGATGTTTATAATAAAATGATATGCATATCAGTACATAAAACTGAGCATAGTGAGGTATTTAAATGTGACATGGTTTTCAAAATGCCAGACAGGTCTTGATGAAGATTCAAACAATACAAAGTAAAATTTTTCCTTGATATATGCTATACCCACATTCTTAGAAAATTCAGTTTATTTTAAAATCACACAAAAAATGCTTAGTACTTATATGTAACATAGATTTAAGGTCTTGGCTCAGATATTCATCAGGCAATTTTTAGCCTGAAAGAATGTCTTATAGGACTATAGAAAATCATGCAGATAGCCCATTGTCCAAGAGGCAGGAGTATTGTGAGCACTGCAGGACACCCTACCACCTTTGGCTCCTGCCCATAAAATGCCTCACAAATGACCAGAATGTCCCTGGGGTTGATGCTGCCCCTAATGAGAACCACAGGTTTACCTGTTCTCTGGGCCAGTGGCACCCCTGTATGGCAGACAATGAACCCCAATCTAAATAAGTAACCTTTGTGTATGTAGGGGTGTGTCTGCCTTGTTCCTATCTATTCCTGGGGTGTGGCCAAGGTTTGTCCTTGGTAAATATTTGGTGAGGGAAAGAATGAAAGGATGGTTGGAAAGATAGGTTCTCTTCTTTGTTCTGTTTTGTGGAGCAACCCTTTAGTCTCTTTAATCTGTTATGACTTGAGAGAATTGTTAAACATTATCCATGAGATAACAAAATAGTAGAAATTATTTTCCCCTTGAAAAACAAGTGCTGGTACCAAAATGTCTATTTTTACTTATTTGCATCTCTGCCATAGTCTGTCTGAACTTTTATTTTGTTAAACGTGGGTGAAGATGCACATATTTGTGCTTTTCTCCTTCTTTTCTAGTGTGGGAAGAGTTGGCCTACTATGAAGAAAACACACGAGATTTTCTTTTCCCTGAGCCTAAGTTGACACCTTCACATCCTGGAATACATAGAGAGGTGCTTATGAAGACAGCCATAGGTTTTCCAGTAAGTGATCTTGCTCATCTGGGCTTCTATTGGGAGAGAAATTCTTGGAACATGAACATTTTATTCTCAACAGTGTTGATCTTGGACAGATAACTTTATCTTGCTTAGTACCTCACTGCTGTTCAGTGGCCCTGTTTAGATGCCCTGCTCAACATACCAAATTATACTTATTTCTACCATTGATCTGATGGTGGAAGTCTTATTATCCATTCAGGCTAAATCATTGACATAGCTGCATTATCACATAGCTATACAAGCAAATTGATATCTCAACTTCTTCTTATTGTAGATTAACAGAAAGATTTATTTAGTCATAGCAATTATGACTAAATAAAGAAGCAATAGTGGTAATGTTATCTCTCATTTATTTTGTGCCTTCAACTTTTTATGCATAATATTTTTCTCCTAACATCTCTCAAGTTAGCCAAGGCAGATCTTATGGCCTTTATTTAACAGAGGGGAAATTGACAGAGTCCTACTAATTGTTATTACTGAAGGATCTTTCTTTTTGGTGTGTGTGTTTTGGTTTTTTGTTTGTTTGTTTTTGGTACTAGGGATTGAACCCAGGGATGCTTAACCACTGAGTTATGTCTCCAGCCATTTTTATTTCTATTTTGAGACAAGTAGCTCAGGGCCTCACTAAGTTGCTGAGCTTGACTTTGAACCTGTGATCCTCCTGCCTCAGCCTCCTGAGCCGCTGGGATTATAGGCATACGCCACTGTGCCCAGCCTAATGTCTGTATCTTTAAGCCCTTCAATATTTTTGAGACTTTGGCAAATATTACTGAAACTATTTTTTTCCCCAACATCATTATCTTGTATCAGTTATACTCATGGTCTTATGATATGCTTGCCTTTATTATGGTGAGTTACTGGGATATCGCTTTTCAGAAATTAAAAGGGAATAAAACTTAAAGAGAAACTCTTATATTGCCCAAATTCTCTGTTAAATAAAAGTCTTTTGTTTTGTTACATAGGATTGAATTCAGAGACACTTAACCATTAAGCCATGTCTCCAGCCCTTTTTAATCTTTTATTTAGAGACATGGTCTCACTAAGTTGCTTAGGGCCTCCCTAAAGTGGTGAGGATGGCTTTGAGATCCTCTTGCGTCAGCCTCCCATGCCACTGTACAAGTCATCTTTAAACACTGGGCTGGAATCCAGCAAAGTATCAAGACAAGGAAAAACACACTATCTTATGTTTTTCACATTATCTGTTTAACTTTATGGGCATAAACAGAAAGAAGGACATGTAAGATGCTGTGTTTATAGTTATTTATAAATGTACATAATCATCAGAGAAGGAATTTTAAAAATGTATGAAAATAGTTTCTTACAATTACATTAATTCTATCAATTCTTACAATTACATTAATCTCACTATATTTTAAACAGTTTGTAAAAAGAAGCGCTCTGTTTCTCTCAAATATTCCAAAACACAAAATAAAAACCGTGGCTGAAGTTTTAATGATAGCTCTTGTTCATTGTGTGCTCACTAGATAGCAGGTACTATGCTGAACTCATTACATGGATTTTCTTGTTAAAACCTTCTTCACCTTGTGAGCACTTTGTTCTGCTATTCTTTTTCCTATTGTGTGGATGGAAAGCTGGTTTAGGGGGGTTTCAGAAATGTACTGAAGATCATAGAGCTGGTGAGTAGTAGATCAGGGGTCCTTATGTTTCATTGTTGGCACTCTTAGTGCATGATGCTAATTCTTTTGTATTTATTACTGCCCACTCCTACTTTTTTCCATTAACATTATAGGAAGTTATTCACTTTATTCTCTTAATTTATCAATTCATTAATAATTAGATTTCTTTCCTTTACTAAATGGGATTTTTTTGCATTTCCATATATATGTATTTTAAATTTCACTTGGTACTTTAACAGTCTTCTAGACAGTATGGTAATGAGGAAAAATAGCAGCATCAGTTTAGGAAACAAAATTCATTTTAAGTTTGGAAATAATTCTGATGAATATGAATATTTGATATAAGATATATAAAACAAGTTTTTCAAAGACAGGAAAAGAGAATCTTTATCTATCCCTCCTTCTAGTAATCTCATTCAATTTCATTGTCCCTTGATAAACAGAGTATCTAATAGCATGGACACTGGATTAGTTATTCAAACTGTATATTAGTTTAATCATCTACTAATGGAGATCCTATTAGGACCTGCTTCATGGGGTTATGTTAGGATTATAGGAGTTAATATTTTCAACATACTTATTTCTGGATCTAGTAAATAATACATATTATATAAGTCTTTAGCTATTCGTATTATGTATATATTTTAGATAATATATGTGGATTATGCCAACCACAGAAGGGCAATTAGGTTCTTGAATGATTTTAAGTTAGGATGAGATATGGGAAGAACTGTTTCTAGTAATTTAATTGCTTCTTTTATGCTATTTTATTTTTAGGGCATTGCTCCCAAACTAGAGTTTTCTACAAGGACAGCCATCCGAGAATGTATGTTTCTGCATAGAAACAGATTTCATGTAAGTATAATCAAAAGACAGCAATAGAAATGACAGAATTTTTTCCATGAACTTAAATTTTAAATGCAACTGAACAAATAGAAACCTCTAAAGTTTTTTGCTAGGTTTCTATATTCGCACTGTTCGCTCAGCCTATCACATTAGAGTGGATATGTTTGGCATGTATTTGGTATGGTGTAAAAGTGGATAATTTAGACATTAAAATCACAAGTTTGACATAATCGACCAGTTATTGTTCTGTTTGTTTGTTGATCTTGTGAACATTTTGTTTTTTTAATTGATTTTTTAAAAATAAATGACAGCAGAATGCATTACAATTCTTATTACACATATCCAGTACAATTTTTCATATCTCTGTTTGTATATAAAGTATATTCACACCAATTCGTGTCTTTATACATATACTTTGGATAATGATGTCTATCACATTCCACTATCCTTGCTAATCCCCTGTCTCCTCCCTTTCCCTCCCACCTCTCTACCCTATCTAGAATTCATCTATTCCTCCCATGCTCCCCCTACCAACCCCACTATGAGTCAGCCTCCTTTTATCAGAGAAAACATTTGTTTTGGGGGATTGACTAACTTCACTTAGCATTATCTTCTCCAGCCCCATCCATTTACCTGCAAATGCCATGACTTTATTCTCTTTTATTGCTGAGTAATATTCCATTGTGTATATGTGCCACTTTTTTTTTTTATCCATTCATCCACTGCAGGGCTTCTAGGTTGGCTCCACAGTTTAGCTATTGTGAATTGTGCTGCTATAAACATTGATGTGGCTGTGTCCCTGTAGTATGCTGTTTTTAAGTCTTTGGGGGTATAGACTGTGGAGAGGGATAACCGGGTCAAATGGTGGTCTTGTGAACATTTTGTTTCCTTCTTTCTTCTGCTGAGGCTTAACTTCAGAGTTGCATCTGCAGTCCATCTTCAGTAGGTATGAAGAGCTCAGGGCACCTGGGCTCATCACCTCCACACTACCATCTTTTTCACTCCTAATTTCTCTTCATCCTCATTTTTTTCAGTCTTTCTTTTACCTTAATGCACATAGCCATTAGAAATTCTTTCTAGAACGGAATGGAGAAGAAATGAAGATAAAATGTAAAGCTTCTTTAAATACTTTAGGACAAGGTAGAATAAAATTAATAGTAAAGTGCTTATCCCTAATCTCACAGTAGTCGTAGAAAATACCTTGAAATTATGAACTACAGATTAAGGGGCACTATTAGAAGGGCCACTAATCTATGAAAATCTATCAGTTCTCACAGAATGGAGACCAGTAATTAATTTTAAGGATGGCATTAGCTACTTTCCCCCCACTATACTGGGGATTAAACCCAAGGGCATTGATTTATATCCCCAGCCCTATTTATTTTAATTTGAAATAGGGTTTCACTAAATTGCCCAGTCTGATCTAAACTTGCTATTCTCCTGCCTCAGCTTCCCTGGTAGCTTACAAGTGTGCCACCTTACCAGACATAGTAATTGCTTTTAAGTTTCTCTTTATTAGTCCTCCATTTTCTCCAGTTTATTTGTGATATGTTCATGGCAAATTTTCAGTCTATCCTTTTCTTCCATTCTACCATTTTAACTTGTTTAACTTCCTTATAGGTCTGCCTTCTAAATGTGAACTTTTAAAATGAATAACTAACAAAAGTATCGCATTTATTTTAGAAAATGATAAAATACAGGTAAGAAAAAGGGACAAGATAAAAACAAACATCACCTTAATTCTTACCATTTAGAGATAAGCTTGACTTAAAAAAATTATATTCAGTACACATACACATGTATTTTTCTATTTTAAAAGATTTAGATCATACCATGTACATATCATTTTGTACATTTTTCACTAGTATTTTTCAAAAGTTCAGTTAAATACTATTATATTCAGATTAAATTTTCTTTTATTGTAATATGTGTGTGTGTGTGTGTGTGTGTGTGTGTGTGTGTGTGTGTATTTTACTTCAGGAAGAAAGATGTAAGTCACGAATGCCTTTATCCACATCACATCGACCAGTGTTTCCCTTAAATAATAAAAAGAAAAAGCCAAAGGAGAACAGTCCTGATAGACAGCCCAGAGGCACTCAGCCCCGGACGCCCTCTCCATATTCCACCAGACGTTTCTTCCTTGACAAACCAGCTCAGATGAACCTTGGAAACAACTTCAAAATCTCTGAAGAAGGGAAGCCTCCTTTTGTGGTTAGACATGTGAGCCTAAAATTACTTTTGGGAATACTTTGGAATGGTCAGGATGTAGATGATGGTGTGAATAAAGGAAGGTTAGGCCATGAAAACAAATGAGTAGTAGTAAATAAAGAGGGAATTCAAATTAAGTAACAACTGTGAATAAATTATGTTCTTTCCTAGAATAATTTCCAGGAAGCTCCTCTAAAGGTATCTCATACAAAGAACTTGCTTGGCAAATGTCAACATCCCTATTTTTAATTAAAAAAAATTATTCCTAGAGCATATTTCAAGAGTTTGTGAACTGCTGGGAGTTGAAAATAGGCTGGTGTGTAATCTATCAATTCAAAACTGAAGTTTCATCAGTTTAAAAGAAAACTGCTTTGGTTTTCTCAATGAGATTGGTGTCCCAGCAGCCATACTTTGAAGAGCAGGGAGAATATGTTTGTAGGAAGAAGCAAGGATATGCCATATTCACAGCCATTAATTAGAGGCACTTTAAATTTATCCTGCAGGAAGTAGTGAGCAAATTTAATTGCTTTAGTTCTCTTAATCTCTTTACAATTTTTAAATGTTGTACTATAAAAACAATGGAAAATATGACAAAGTTCAAGAAAATAAATTACCCATAGGCTCACTAACACAGTAAAATCATTATTTCATTTAATTTTGTTCATTTTCTCCATCTTTTTTGTATTCATAGGTTTTATCGAATTATAATTTTAGTGTATTTAGTGTATATACACCTTCATATCCTGATATATTTTAGTTAGCATTGCTTTTTATTTATTTATTTATTTATTTATTTTGTGCCAGGGATTTAACCTAGGGGTGCTTAACCATTGAGCCACATCCCCAGCCTGCCTTTTTAATTTTTTATTTTGATACAGGTTCTTGCTTACTTGCTGAGGGCCTTGCTAGGTTGCTTAGGTTGGTTTTGAACTTGTGACCCTCCTGCCTCAGAGCTGCTGGGATTACAAGTGTGAGCCACCATGAACATTGCTTTAAAAGAATTTTCTATATTATTTTATACTCCTCATAAACACCATTCCATGTTCTAGTTAGTGACTTATTCTCCAGAATATTAAATATTTATAATATGTTAAGGTGATATTAAAGTTGCTAGTTGTAATGTTTCTGTATTTGACATATAGTGAGGCATGATAAGTCTGAAAGTCAAGGTTCTGTTAAGATAATGTTAAAGTAGTTAGTTTTTAGGAAGTCAGAACTTAATGCTAGAATCTACCAAATAGACAACATACCTACAAATACTCTCAGACTGGAAGGGAATGTAGAAGGCCGAAATGTCACCTTGTGGCAATCCCTTGCTCTCAGAGAGGTCCCTGCCTGAGCCAGCAGTGTTCATACTATTTAGAAACATGAAACTCTGTCCTCTCTTTAAAAGATCAAAATAAAGCTTTGCTTGCTTCCTACTCTGCTCCATCCTTATCAGTTATTAGAATGTAATTTGTGTTCAACTTTAGTTCCTTATGCTAACATGTAGCCTGTATCCTCATGTTCTAGCTTCAATGAAGCCTCAGTGAAGACAAGGACAAACAGTTTCTCTAACATACTTGGAGACTGTGATTTTTTTGTTTTTCAACTTTCTCTTTTCCGAGCTATCTAATCAATCATTGAGGAGGAGAAAGGCATTTTTAGGTAATAGGGATAATAGGGATAAGGGATAAAACCTACTTTAGATTGTAGTCTTATTTTTTCTTTATTTTCAGGTGGACAGTGCAAAGCCCTTTGGTGAAAATAGTTCAGAGCATCATTCACGAAAGTCTAGAAGAAAATCTAAGTTTCCAAACTTCCCATTTCCAATAAGAAGAGGTACTCAAGTTTCTTGTTACACCTGTACATATTCTTATGAGAACCAGTGCATCCTACTTATTTATCTTCTTTCATTTTGAGGAATCAAAAGTTACACTGGACACCATGGGCCTGACTATGAAGGACTCTCCATCTGTGATGTTCGCAGAGGGTGTTCCCATGGAGCTGAGGCGGCCAAGCCTCCAAGCCATCAATTGGATAGTCCCCCTTCTATTGCAGGGGCCTGTCCTGAGTATTATTGCCCACAAAGTATTGCATTTGTCTTTTGGCAGAGCTGAAAAAGCAGACAGTAGTCTGTCTTGGTGTGAACTCCTTGCAAAGGCACCATTAATAGCTAACAAAAAAGCTATTTTGTCTGCCATTTTTTCCAAGTAGGAAAGAGTAAAAGATTGATGGTGATTAGGAGATATAGCATTTGCTATACAAGATTCCCTATCAGTGAGGAGGGAGCCAACTGTATCTGAAGCAGTTTGGTTAAGGCAGGGATCTCAAAACATTAGATTTCAGGACACTTGTCCATTTTTAAATATTATTGATTATCCAAAGAGCTATTGTTGAGGTGGATAATGTCTATCAATATTTAACATGTTAGAAGTTAAAACTAAGACATTTAAGAAATATAAAACACTAACACAAATTCCATTAGCACAGTGATATTATGACATGTCATAGTAGCCTTTGTTAGGATTGTGAGAAAATGAAAGTGAAAAGAACAAATCATAGCTTAGTATTATTATGCAAACAATTTGACTTTGAAAATTGCTTAAAAGTTCTCTGGAACCCCTAGGGAGGTTCCTGGAGTACACATGGAGAATTGCTGGGTTAAGGCATTCCTGGGTGTCCTTTACCTTTTGACTTTGATTTGTGAATCATGTCAATAGTGAAGGTCAAGGTAGCAAATTCAACTATTCATCCATTCCTGAATGTAATCAAAATTATTTGATTAGGAAGGGATGGTGGTGGTTCCTTTTCCCTCGTCTCCTGGTAGGACTGGTCTTGTCCCATTCCTGACAATAGAGTTCTCTTTCTTAGGCTTAAAGGTTTGTACTCTTAGGGGGCTGCAGAGTCTTTTATGGCAACTCAGGCCAGTATTCTTAGATCATGGTGACTGTATGATAGTAGCTGACCAAGGTCAGAGTATAGGGTTTGAAGCAGAAAGTGCTTCATCACCTCTGACATTTAATTTAAGTTCTGTGAATTGAAATCATCCACATGGCCTGTAAAAGCAGCACTGTCTTTCCTATTACAGTGAAATCAAGCAGAAGCAAATGTCCTTCCCTGGGAAGGACAAGTTGGGCTTATTGCTGGTTTGAATATAACAGGACTCATATATCACAAGGTCTCAGCCTTTGTCGTTTCTTTATCCTGCCAAGTGGAAAACTAAGGTTCCAGAGAGGTTACAGGATCCTTTTTTTCTAATAAGCCTCCATGTGATACTGATGCTGCTGGTCTATGGGCTGCACTTTGAGAAGCGGGGGAATAAAAGCCAGCCCTCTGTGCAAGGAGTGCTCAAAATCAGTAGCAAGGAGGTTCCTAGGCCCCAGGGCAGGTTTGTGGCTATTGTTGCAAGGACCTTAGCACTGCCAATGCCCTGTCCAGCTCAGGGTGGCAGAGGAGAGCTCCTGGGATGAGATGAATATGCACATATTTGTGACTCAGAAGATATGAAAACTACCAGACTTTGAAAACTCGTTTTTAAAAAGTCTTCCTTCTTATTACCAGTGGCATGGGGGCATTTTCCATCCAGGAAAGTCCTTGTTACTGCCTAATCCCCAGTCACACTGGGGGAAGCCAGGGTGGAATCAGCATCATCTTATAAATATTTTATTTCAAAATAATTTTTTTCCCAACCTGGAAAAATCCAACTTCACCTTAGTTTTCTCTATGTGAATTTATTACTTCACTTCCTATCATCCTTAGCTTTTCTGGTATTCTATATACTTCTCATATTTATTTAGGGTGATAATGATTTCCATTGTTGCTGCTTTATATTTCTCTAAGCTCTTATGTATTCATTGTTTCAATTTAACATTTGTGACTACCTCAGACAATATACTCAAGAGCTCCTGCATATAATCCTATAAAAACCAAAGAAAATGGCAGAAGAGGCAGAGTATATGATTTTTTTAGACCCACATTACTGTCTTTTTAGGTTCTGAGCATCTAGGCAAATATAGTTTTTTTCTGCATAAGGCTGCATAAAGGTATTGAACTTATTGCTTCACTTTAGGTTTGCTTTACCTTAACCCTTCCCATATGTGGTGTCATTAAATTATAACCTCACTTTTGACTTCAAGAAGACAGAAATAGAATTGCAGTGACTAAATGGAGATTTAAAAGTGATAGTGTAATTTACAAGGGAGCATTTAAGTTCTTTAATAACTCATTCATTGTCTAAAATTTATATACTGCTGTGGAATACATGTAACAGCAGTTTTAGGGTTAATGGTAATAATGAGTCATTCAAACACCTGTTCCTCTTTCTTCTAGCTTCTTCTCTTGACAGCATTGCAGCAAACGTAAAGGTAATTTTAGAAGTAGCATTTGTAAAATGATTAATTTCCAGCTATCTTATGTCAATTACTGGGTTTTCTGCAATCAGTTGTGGAAATGTATTTCCAGTTAGTGCTGCTTATGTGGACTTGCTTTAGTTTAACTAGGGTTTATGCAAAGAGGTGCCCAGGCTCCCCTGTACTCTTTGCTTTGGGACTTATTAGTTTCCTCTCCTCTTTTCAATTGTAGGATGAGTTACCTAGGAGGGTGTATATAGGGGCCCAGTACCTACTTTATCAGTAGTGATTTTCATTGCTTTTTCTGTAATTGAATGTTTATACATAGAGGTGGTAAATCACTTGTTCTTGAAGTTTGGTTTGTCAAAGTGAAGGCTCAGACTTCTATGGTATGACTTGAAAATATATATGTGCAGAGCAAATTGAATATACTATGCTTCTTATGCCATAGCATTTAAAAATTTGAATATATATATATATATATATATATGTATATGTTTTCCAGACTAATAATCCCCCATCCTCAGAAATCAAAGTTCAAAGCATTAATTTATTTTGCCCTATTAATATATGCTAAACATATAGGCTGTGGGTTATTTTTCCTTGACCTTGACTCCTGAGCATTTTGTCTCTATAGTCTTCTGCATTGCAGTTCCTCTTTCATTTGCAGGGACAAGTATTTTATCATCTTACTCCCAGTTCTCTTCCTTGTCCCACCCCACCCCTGGCTCTAAATTAAGCAAACAAAACAAAAAAATAAAGAATAATGCACAACTATTGTCATTCAGGTTATCAAAGAGCCAGATGAACGGATTGTCTTAAGGAATGAATCATCATCAAGTTTAAATTCAAGTAAGTTTGGAAAGCCCTTGCCCAAGAACCAAGGGGATGCCGATTTCCACCGGGAAGCTTCACTTGCCACCTCCCAGCAATCCACCTCTACCAGCCCTCTGGATCAGCCCTTTCTCCGAGAAAGGTTAGCAATCATCTCTGCTTGAAGAGAGCACTGAGGTCTGGCAGCAGAAAAGCCCAGTCACTTCATTAGTTTGCTTTCTGAGGATACCTTGATATGAAAAAAAAAAAAAGACTGTTCTTTTTAAAATTTACCCCAAAGTCAGAATTGAGCCTTTTCCCTTGCCTCTGGAAAACATCTCTAAGAAATGAATAGACAACTAACTGGTATAGATACTATTTATCTATACATTTTTATCTATTGTAAATTTTAAAATTAAAGCTCTTTATTTCATCAGTATAAAAATCTTTGCTATAGAAATCTTAGAAAATAATGAAAAAAAAGTGAAAACCAATTTCTCATAGTCCTGCCAAAGACAAGTATATTAACATGTGGATGTATTTTCTTTTTCTAGAGATAGTTTCTTTCTTTGTCTACATTATTATCACAGATAATCAAAATACATTTGCATATGTCTGGAGGACAGACCAGAGAGCTAAAAGCTAGAATCTGCATTTGCCAAACTGCACTCTGGGAAGGTGACCAAATGCCCACGGTCCTTGGGTCTGCCCTGAGTTGAGCCCTCTAAGTTCTGGGAATCCTCTGAGTCTTAGGCAAGCCAGCACAGGTGATCACCTTAACTGAAAATAATATTTTAAAGATAGTTATTTTATTTTAAATGGGAAAGATATGCCCATTTTCTTTTCTCTGTGTTATTAGTGAACAGAATAAGAAATAAATGCCCATACCAAAAGAATACTGTTGATCACAAAGGAATTCATAGTAAATATATCCCAGAACCAAATAGGCCCTGAGATTTTAACAGGAACTATGTAAAATTTGAGGTACATGAGGAAAGTGGCAACCCATTTTTAGTGTTTTTCAGAAATGATAGAATAACTATATTAAAATGTTAATTCATTTAAGGAAACAAGGTAATTATTTTAATAATATCTATTAATGTATGGTGAGTTCTTGATTATTGACTTTATTGGAAAATAATATAATATAGATTTTTGAAAACCAGCATTGGCACATTGAGATAGGTGGTTAGACCACACACGTATACTTGTTTCTGTGCCTAGTCTCCATTGACTCCTGGTTTATACTTTTGCCATCAGACTGGAATGTAGCAGGTTGGCAAAATGGGGGGTTATCACAAATTCAGAAGCTTTCAAAGAATTGATTTGATAGACCTTTATTTATTTACTTATTTATATGTGGTGCTGAGAATTGAACCCAGTGCCTCATACATGTTAAGCAAGTGCTCTACCACTGAGTCACAAGCCCAGCCCTGGTAGAGATTGATTTGAAATGGAGAGTGGGAAGAAGCTTTAACTGATGGTAATTGGGAGACTTGGCTCTCATGCTTGTCTTTATCTAATTGCTGTTTGATCTCTCACAAATCTCCAACCTTTTAGACCTCAGTTTTGTCATCCCCAAGATGAATGTGATGATCAAAGATCCATCTTCTTTCAACCAACAATTAATTCTCTGCTTCCAGAACTAGGAAAAGCCCACAGCTTTTGTCCATGTGTTGTATTTATATACATCTTCCAAAATCCTTAGAATCAGTTCAGCAAGATTTTCTGAGAGACTGAACTGAGTATGCAGTTATTGGGCAACTGTTATGTGCCATTTACACGGTCATGACATGTCTGCTTCCCAGTTGCTTACACACCAGATGAGAAGGCAGACAGAATCCCATCACATTAAGTATGAAATGGATTGTGTTATGTACTTAATGGAAGTACATTCCAAATGCAGGGGAAAGACAGTGCAGGAGGAGATTAATTCCTTCCTGAGGGAGATCTGGGAAGGCCTCGTTTCTCCTTCTGCCTGTGAAATGGCTTATGCATTTATTCAACCAGACTTTTATGACTGTCTTTATAGAGCAGGTCAGAGATTCTCTGGATGACATAATTGCCTCATGTTTTTTGAGTCAGTATCAGTTGAGATTAGAATAAGTGTATGGTTAGAGTGTGGAATCTCTATGGTTAAAAGAGTGTCTCAGGGAAAACAGGACTGTTAACCAATCTGCTCTGCCTGGAATGGGAATACTTAACATTTAACTTATTTCTCCTGATCTCTGAGAACTTGAACCTAGCACAGAATTAAAAAGAAAGGAAAAATGTACAAAGAGCTTTCTACAGGCAGAACTTTGTGAATAAAGCAGACAAATGCTACTAGAGTATAAAGGAGGAGAATGGCACTTCTGGAATGTTTTGTGGAAGAGGGAGCATTTTCATGTGGCCCCCAAGGAAGGAGACTAGTTTATGATAGAGTTAATGGGAGTGAGGCCTGGGAGGTAAGATTGCAGGGCACTGTCAGTCTCTGAGTTTGCGGGGGATAGTGAGTGTCAGTGCTCAAAGATCTGAGGGGCAGAGGATGCCAATCTGAGGAATTTGGGCTTTGCTTAGAAGAGAGTGGGAAGCTTTTGCAATGTCGCCTTTAGGAAGGTGAGTCTTCAGACCAGCATTTTATTAGCTATTTATAATGAGACAGAGAATTCTGTGTGTCCAGAGTCACTCTAAGCAACTAACTTTGGACCTAATTGGACTATGAGTTTGTAAATGAGGCCATGATCCATAATGACAAAAGAATGTCATGGCCACAGAAAGGTCATCCAGTTTGCCCATGGTTGTCCTGACTTTAGAGCCCAAAGTTCTGCTTCCTGGGAAACCTCTGGGTCCTGGACAATCCAAGAGATGGGGTCACCTGAACTCCAGAGGAGTTTAAGGCAGCTGTTTTGATTGGAGGATATACCCGTCATATACTTGGGGAACACCTCATTCCCCATTGATTTTAGAGTCATTACAAAGACAGACTTCTGGAACAGTAAGGGTTATCAGCACCTTGTCCCTACCTTACCAGTGATTCTTTTCACAACAGTACCATCTGAACCAGTCTCTGTGCCCAGATCCCAAGAGTGCATGAGAAACACCTCTTGAGATTCTCCTATCTTAATACTGAAATCAGTAAGGTCTGAGGTCATAGGGATAGTTTGGAGTGAGATTTTGGATTGAGATTCAGCCTAAGGGTTGAATGGAAGAAGTGCAAAGTCCTTTAACTATCAAGGTAAAAATAGTAGTCCCAAAGGAGAAAGGAACACTCTCCAGCCCAACACCCATCTCTACCATCTGGATAGTGTCACACCCCTTCAATGTACATCCTCACTCTTCCTTCCACATGAGAAGGTGAATAACATGGACAAAGCTGTAATAAATAAACAGCACTGAGCCAGTCTGCTGGCTCATCATTCTCAAAGAATAGAATCTCAAATGTAGAATAGATTGTAGGTAACATGCAACATATGTATTTATACTGTATATGAATGTGGGAATTCCTTTTGTATTTTGAGACTTATAGAAAAGCATACACAGTGTCCAGCTGGTAGCTATTTTTAAATGTTAATTTGATTTATAGCTTCAAAATATTTCTATTTCTTCCTCTTAAAAATTCTTGGAGAAATTTACAAATGATATGTGTGGTCATTTCTTAAATACAGCAGTACTTTAGGGGAGGCTTTTGTTTGCTGTGAATTGTTTTTCGGGGTTGGTAATGGTTTGGAGTAGAGTCATTTCTACTCTTGGTCTTGTTTCCCTGGAAACCAGTGGGACATGCTTGTTACAGAGAGACTTGTGATCAGAAGCTGGATGGACCTGGAGCTATGCAGAAGGGCAACTGTACAGGAGTTATTAGCTTAGTGGTTATAATAACTGTATTCCCAAATGCTCCTACCATTTCCAATGTTTGTCATAAATAACAGTAGAGAATGCTTTCATCTAAATTGCTGAAATTCTTTAGGCATTTTTAGGAAACAGTATCTATGCTTTTCATCATCAAATTGTTATATACACTTTTAGTTTGACCACAGAATTTAGGATTTGGTATCTACCCCCTCCCAAATATGAGTGAGTGAATGAATGAATGAATGAATTCACTACCAAGCAATATTCTTTAAATACTTACTGTGGTATTTGATACATACTATTCCTGGGATGAGCTATTAACCAGAGTCTCATTCCAATATCAGTCTTAGGAGTGGAGAAAGACATTAACCAGATAATAACAAAATGTTCACTGGTAGAAGTGCTATGAATGTGGTATTGGGAGATGGAACTCTAAGTGCATATAATAGATCAGCTGACCTCCTCTACAAAAGACGGCTCAGGTGAGACTCTTTGGGAAGTCAGCAAAAGAACTGAGCCCAGAAGTATAGTTAAGAGTTAATAAGAGTAGGGACAGGGATTGGGAGGTGGTGGTGTTGTAGGCAGAGGTCTTGGCGAATGCCAATGGACGGGCAAAAATGCTCCGTGTTGAGGAACTGAAAGACACTATCAGGTCTGTGGTTAAGTTTGGGGTCCAGATAGTCTAAATTACATGAGATATAAAATGAAATCCTTGTGGTAGAAAATAAGGGCTTAAATTTTATATGAAAAATTGAGGGATTGAAAATTTAAATGTAAAACCAGGATTTGTTCTTTAGAGAACTATCTGAAAAACACAGCAAAGTCTGAAGAAGAAAAGAATTCATTTCTCCTAGCCCCACATTCACATACAACCATTTTTTWAAAAATATATTGCTTGTTCCTGCTCCCTAGTTATTTTCTTATGTGTAAGTTTTATAAAGTTATTGAAATTATACCATGTTAGACTGTGGTTGTAGCTCAGTGAAGGAGCACTTGTCTAGCACGTGTGAGGCACTATTTTCAATCCTCTCAGAAAGAGAGAGAGGCGGGGGGAGGCACTGGTTTCAATCCTTAGCAGCACATAAAAATAAATAAAGAAAGAAGGAAAGAAGGAAGGAAGAGGAAGGAAGGAAGGGAGGGAAGGAGGGAGGAAGGAAGGAAGGAAAGGTATTATGTCCATGTATAACTAAAAAAAATTTTAAAAAAGAAATTACACTATGTATACCATTTTGCATGTTGCTGTTTTTCTTATGATTAAATTTTTAGTATCAATCCGTGTTTGTTACGTACTCTTAAGACAGTGTCATTTTTTAAAAAATAATGTTTCTTTTTAAAGATTTAGGTGGACACAATATCTTTATTTTTATGTGGTGTTGAGGATTGAAGCCAGTGCCTCGCACATGCCAGGCGAGCGCACTACCACTTGAGCCACATCCCCAGCCAAGACAGTGTCGTTTTTAGTAGCTGTATAATACTTCACTCTGTTTACTCTGTTGAGCAGGTTCCATCCTGGTTCTCAGCCCACATGGAAGAAGATCCATGAAAGGGTATGCAGTCTTCTTACATCCCACAGAGCTCAGCAGCATGTGAACAAGGTTAGGAGTTCCAATGAAACTAAATCTTTATTGACAAAGTAATAAGGGAACTGGAACTTTCAGTCTAGTGAGGGAAACACACATTAATCAAGTAACTACAGGAATAAATGTAAAACTGTGACATTTACCATGGAGAGTACAAGGTGACCTGAGAGTGTGCAGCAGGGGATGTGAATAGTTAAGAGCCAGGGAGGAAGAGGAGGAGGAGCTGAGATCTGAGGAATGAGTGGCAGCTACTTTGGTGCACACCTTTCATGGAGTGGAGGTCCAGTGAAGGGGTCCTTTTAAAGGACTGAGAGAAGATGGTCTAACTTGTCTGTAGCACATTTCCTCTACACTTGGGAACCCAGTCCAGAGAAGAGTATGGGGTGTGTGTGTGGTCCATGTAAGATTGAAGAAAGTTTTTCTAAAATTTAGTAAGGCGATTTTGGCTGTTTGACTTACATGTGGGTGTTAGGAGTATTCTGATCCATTGGTAGATATATCCAGGACTTTATGTGTACCACATACCTACAACTAAGCCACCTTTAACAATGCAAAAGAATACAAATGAAAGGTTAGCAGTACACTTGGTGTCTGGATATAACCATGCCATATATAGTTGAATTGGTCACCTTGGCTTGTTAAATACTGGCATGTACTAAATTTATGGGATGACATTTACAGGTGGATATTGATTACTGTAACAATGAGAGTAGTGGATTACTTCCTCTTTGTGAAGTTATTGGTTTTACCTTAATTCACAACCTTTCCCAGTAAAGGACTCTTTTTAAAATGAAGAAAAAAAGAAAGGAAGGAATGGAAAAAAAGAATGAAAGAAGGAAGAAAGAAAAGAAGGAGGGAGGAAAGGAAGGAAAGAAAGGAAGGAGGGAGGGAAGCTACATACCCACACTTACAGTGAACACCACAGATTTGGAATGTATGGGATGCTCACACAAAAACTACACATCTGGGTATTATTGATCTCTATTACATTGTGGCAGTACAATTGCTGGATGTGTTTTATAGGAAGATTCTACCTTTGAAATAAATGATAACCTTGAAAGACCAGTCTGCTCTCCAATGAAATACCCACTGCATGAAGAGATATATTTTTAACTGCTGTTATAAGTAAGTAAGAAGCTTCAGTACTTATTATCCTTTTGTGAAAAAAATTGAAGTTTTCTACAATGAAGTAACTAAAAAATGTTGTGGACAGAAAATGTGGAGGAGACCTAAGGGCCATGTTCTTCGTTCACCCAGTAAAACTCAGTAAAGAATGATGGTACATATATCTGCCAGCTCTCTTGCCTCCTATCCCGCCTGCTGTCTTTATCTAAAGACCCCTGGGCTTCTTTCAGCTCCTTGAACCAGTTCCTTTTTCTTGAACCAGGGGCCTTTGCACTGTTGCTTTCTCCATCTGGAATTCTTCCCGCCTCTGCCGGGTAACTTCTGTTTGTCCTTCAGCTCTCATCACTTTCCATGACACTCCCTCCTTTATAACACCCTGCACTTATCTTTCATTAAGTGCAACACAGTTTTTTATTATTGTTTTAAATCAGTCTCTTCTATTAGAATGAAACCTTCATGATATCCAGGACTGTATCTCTTGCCACTTTAAATTTAGCATTTTGTGCAACACAAGGGAATCCCATTTAACTTTTCAATTGGACATACTGGCTGTGTGTCCCAAACAAGAACCTGTCTTGCCACCCTCATCTGCCATTATTCTCACATCATCTGGTCCTCCACTGTGATGGTTACTTAGTAAACTTTCTTATAAGTGAATGTCAAATAAGGTAACTCTATCTCATATTTCAATTCAGATATGTGGCAAAGTAGTTGGCCGCATTGTGGGCTGTTCATCATTTCTCAGGTATTCTCTTATATTTTCCTTTCTAAACCAGGCCCAGAATAATAATGGCTCTAACTTTTAGAATGGTATTCTTGCCTGCGGATAGTTGAAAGCTTATTTCTGTGGATGGGAGTGAAGCTGGGGAACTCCTCTTCTGCCATCCTGCTGACCAAAGTCTCAGTTTTTCCTTATCAGATGCTTCCTAAATCCCAAGAATGGGTCCATACACTTCACATGTATTAAATGAATTGATAGTTACTTCTCACAACAACCATATGAGATGGGTACTATTATTAGTTCTGTTTTACAGAGGGAAACTGAGGCACTGAGAGATTTAGGTACCTTGCTCAAGGTGTCATATCTAGTGAATGGTGGAACTAACAATATGAACTTGGGAAGTCTGGCTTCAGAGACCATCCTCTTAACCATTACAAAGCTAGAGTGTGTGATAGGAGAACTCTGGGAAGAAAGACAGCAGGTATATAAATAAGAGCCTTTTGATACCCAAGCAGGGTTTTCATACACTGTCCTTGGATGTCTCCCAGTAAGATCCTATTGTGTTATATTATATATTTCTCACTCCAGCCACATCAAAATAATTTGAGTCTTTTTAAACAATAAAGGAGTATGGGATAACCTACTAGATTTTCACTATAGTCAGGCTCCTGAAAGTCTGCTTTAAGGGATCATTTTTTTTGCTTTAAGTCACAATTCACCTTGCCCCAGGGCTGGCCAGGTCTCCTCATCTTTATCACAGAGGAATGTGGAGGACAGCTCAGTAATTGTCTACATTAGAACGTTCTGCTTTGTAGATTAAAGGATTCTAGGCCACATAATCTCTGGTCATGAAAACAGTCATCTAGGCTTTTATTAGGTTGTTGCACAGAACATAGCCCACATAATTACGAAATGCCAAATTGCTTTGAATTTCAACATGGGTAACATCAAGTTACCTAAAGCCTGAACCAGCTGGAGTGGACACTGATATGAGGGGACTCAGAAGAGATAAAAGAAAAAATCTATAAATTCTGTCTTGGAAAATGGATTTCCTACAAATCAGGAGTCACCACCCCCCTGGGGTTTGGAATATGCTCATGAGTGTTTTCCGAAAACTACCCATTCTATCCTTTTACTAACTCCACTTTTTTTTTTGTATTTTTAAAATTTATTTCTTACATGACAGTAGTGGAATGCATTACATTCATAGTTATCCATTTCACTTTTTGAGCTATGGATTCCTAGTGAGGCAGGATCCTGGAGCGTTGTCATGTTAGGGAGGTTCTTGTGAAAAACCTGGGTGACTCTGGCTAGTCTTAAGCAAACAGGGCATTTATATGAGCAGCACTGTGTAACTAGGGAATATCCAAACAAGCAAGGTTAAGTAGACACAATAGCACAGCTAGCGTCACTCCTATGGGTTGGGAAGCGAGATCCCAGAGAGGATGCATATGGCACACTGTGCTGCATTCCCACCACGTGTTCTGGTTGATACCTTCCTCGAGGACTCTCCTGATTGCAGCATAAATGTCTGTCCTGTCCCTTCTCCATATCAGCTCTTTTACTGTCAGTCAGCTTTTCCTCTCCTGGCTTTCAAGATCTCAGGGAAACCTAAAAGTGGATTCTTAACCACAAAAAAATGAGTGACTCTTAAATCCAGAATGATGAGTCCAACTATCTGGCCAGGTAGAAAGAGGATAGAGGGAAGAAATGGGTAGAAGACATTGGAATACATCTGTTTCCTCCTTATTCTGGTTGTTTTGGGACTTKTACTTTTGACATAAAACAGATTATCCCTTGTATACTTTAAAATGGTGAATTTTACTACAAAAATAACAACAACAACAATAAAAACTCTGGACTCTTCAGGTTATCCCTAGTTCTCTTGGACAGGGAGGGCATGATTGCCTCTATTCCATATCCCTTATCAATGTGTGAACTAACTGCCCATGTCTGGTACACTTTTCTGAGAATCCATTTTTGGAGATGGGCTTACAAGGCCATCTCTGTAATACTCCTTGATCCCTATGAAGTCAGGCCCTCTGCCTTCTGTGCAGGAAGGGGAGACTTAGCAAATTGCACTAGGTCTGGCCCGATGGAGCATTTGCCCACCTGTGATTCCAAATTCCACCCTGTGGCTTGCCCTCAGGGAGAGAGAGATTGAAGTTTCTTGTAATGCTTCCAGCCGGTCAGTGAGGAACTTGGGCCTGGGTTTCCTCAGACACTAGGAAGAATTGTATCCCTGAACTTTTTGGAAAATTGAAGAATAACAAAAAGGAAATACATCAAGAAAAGATAAAGGACACAAATAAATTGAAGTACTGGTTTCTGATCCTGTCATAGCTCATTGCCTCTAGTTCCTAAGACAGTAGCTGGTATGGCATCTAATCTCACCTGTCTCCACTGGGTAGGGGCCATTTGACTTTCTTTCATAGGGGCCCAAACACCTCTGTGAAATCAAGCTGAAAGCAATTCCACCTTCACTGCTGAGCCATGCCACTGTTCAGGGCTCTCTCTCTCTGACTTGGTCACCAGTTTTCYGAGGGATTTGGTGATTTGTGAGGATTGAAGCAATGGATAATGGTGTAACTTTCTTCATCCTAGGAGCTTTCGGTCCTGTCAGAGACTAACAGACCACACAGGCAGTGGCTACCCACCCAAATCAGCAGCAAACTTATGGGTCAGCAGTTGAAGAATGAGCATTAGAATCACTGGGAGTACTTTGAAAAATTTTAGTGCCTGGGCCTCACTCACTCCAGAGCAATTTAATTTGAGTCTGCATAGGTGGTGCCTAACACTGGTATTTTTTTAAGGTCTCTCGGAGATTYTGATGCACATTTAGGATTGAGAATCTCTACAATAGATTGTGAGGTTCTTGAGGATGGGGAGTTTGGAACACCCCCAAGTTCCATACTTAACCTCCTCTGTGCTCAATAATGATTGCTCTGTAGAATACAGTTGATTGGAATATGTTGGACAGTTCAACAATTATTTTGTTTGTTCCGAGCATTTGCTACACACACACGACTAGTAACAACTCTCACAATAATACTAGGAGGTGGATACTCCAAGTATTGTCATCCTGATATTTTACAAAGAGGTCAAATAACTTGTCCAAGGTCACACAGGTGTTATTCTGCACTGGGAATCTTGGGGAAAGAGGCTCAGAAAACAAATGACCTCATTTGTTTTCATTGGCATAGTCTGAGAAAAGCTAAATGTCAAGAAGGATAGTATGAAATAATCTTTTTCTCCTTGATTGTGTTGATTGTAGTGATGGATTATGTGATGTCTCACATTTCACAGGGGAAAATGATGAAGGCTGCTGGAGGATCACGAAGAGCTTGCTCAAGACAACTACACATCCTTGGAGAAATGAACAATGATCTTTGTTGTCTCTATTGAGTTACTGGTGTCTAATCCCCTTTATATCAAACCCTGTATTCATTCTTTTTTGCCCAGGTAAGAATTATTGATTAAAATGTTTGCTGTTTGGGGCTCACATTTTCTTGTCACCTGGAACATTGTGTTTTGTTGTAGCAGGTGCTTTTCCATTTGCAAAGCACGTGTTAGGATTCTGACAGAAAGGTCAAGATGCTTTCTSAGCTATTCTTTATTTTTGTCAGTGAATGTGTTCTTGAAAAGCTTATCTTCCCTCTTCCTTCTTCCTTCTTTCTTTCCCTTCCTTTCTCCCTTCCTTCCTCTTAAATTTTATATGCAACAGAAGTTGCTAATTGGGGGAATAACCTGATAAATCCTGCAGGAAACAATTGTCAACCCAATTTTCTCCTTTTGGCAAATCTGATTTTGTTGTTATTGTTGTTTTTAATGTTAGGCTTGATTTATATGAAGTACTCTTAAAATGTAGGAAAAGAGAATTATTTCTGGAAAAATTCACATTTTGTTTTAATGGTTGAATTTCTATGATAAATTTGTAAGAGGAGGCAGTTTCTTTGGATTGTGGTTTAAACTGTTCTGTTCCCATCCCTTCCTTTTTTCACCCTTAGCAATTCTTAATAAATTTAGATGAAGATCAAAATCTTTCTCAAGCATTTCTCCAAAAGAATTACATTAAGTAAATAGGTTCTACAGAAAGGTCTGCCAAAAACCAGACTTTAAATTAATTAGTAGGGTGCCTTTATGAAATGCTTACATAGTTGGGGGGAGCAGGAAGAGGAAGCAGATGGGAGGAAGGGTTATTAGAAGCCCATTTGTTTTCATGGGCACAGACCCAGAGAAAAGGGGGTCTGAAAAATGGAAATCTTCGTTTTTATTCATATTATAACCTAGGCATCTTCTTCTGTCATACTTGGTATGGTCTGAATATTTGTATGTCCTCAAATGTTGAAATCTTACCCTGGAAGGTGAAAGTATTAGGAAGTGRGGCTTTTGGGGAGGTGATTAGGTCATGAGGGTAGAGCCCTCATGAATGGGATCAGTATCCTAGAAAATTAGGCCCAAGGGAGCTCATTTCTCCCTTCCACCACAAGTGAGGATGCAGTGAGGTGGTATCATGTACAAACCAAGAAGAGGGCCCTTAACCAGTTTCCAAATCTGTTTGTGCCTTGGCCTTGAACTTCCTGGCCTCCAGAACTGTGAGAAGTAAATTTGTTATGTTTAGAAGCTGCCTGGTATTAGGTATTTTGTTATAGTATCTCAAATAAACAAAGACAATATACTAAAATTCTTTTAGTTTTTACAAGATACAGAGAGAGCAAGGTTTTCTTTTCTCATTATGACCACAAAAATTGGTTTGTTAGGAAAACAAAATTAAGTAGAAAAAGAAACTCCCAAAACAAAAACAAAACTCATTTAACTCATCTCAGAATTCTAGTCAGTCGGAGCTGGGGTTGTGGCTTAGTGGTTGAGTACTTGCCTAGCACATGCAAGATTCTGGGTTYGCTCTTCAGTATCACATAAAAATAAATAAATAAAATAAAGATATCGTCCTCTCCGGGCTCAGGCCTTAGTCATGCGACATGGCTAAACGCATCAAGAAAGTCAGAATCGTGGGTAAATATGGGACCCATTATGGTGCCTCCCTCCGGAAAATGGTGAGGAAAATTGAAATCAGCCAGCACACCAAGTACACTTGTTCATTCTGTAGCAAAACCAAGATGAAGAGACGGGCTGTGGGGATTGGGCACTGTGGTTTCTGCATGAAAACAGTGGTTGGTGGTGCCTGCACCTACAACACCACATCTGCCGTCAAAGTCAGGTCTGCAATCAGAAGACTGAAGGAATTGAAAGACCAGTAGAAAGTTCTAATATATAACAAAATTGTGGTTTGTTGTTAATTGTATTAACTGGATATTCTGATGTGAATTGAATTAATATTACCCTTTTAAAAGATATTTGTAAACTGAAGCCCTTCTAATTTGAATTGRAAAATTTTGCTGAGATGGGTTATTGTAATTCAGGGTTTTTTTTTCCCCCCAGTAGTAAGATGATAATGCCATAAAACTAAGTCTTAGGTATTATGCTTACCTTTTTTTTTTTTTTTAAAAAAAAAAAACACTGTTCAACTTCTTAGTTGAGCATATTGTGCAAAATTTGTTTTAAAGGTAAAATATGCTAAAATACATAAAGGATATACATAAAACAAAGATTGTGTCCAACTACAACTAAAAAATAAAATATTGAAAAAATAAATTAAAAAAGAATTCTAGTCAATTAAAAGCATATATTCTAAAAAGCATTCCACCTTTAGAAGCKGACAAAGCAGGCTTAAATTACATGTACTTATAAATGTTCTTGATGTTTTTGGAACTACCATTTATCAATTTGTTATTTTGGTATTACCTTTAAGAAGTCATCAAAATTTCAAAAAATACTGTGTTACATTAAGATTATGGTATGCTGGGCTCATTGGCACACACCTGTAATCCCAGTGGCTTAGGAGGCTGAGGCAGGAGGGTCGTGAGTTCAAAGCCAGCCTTAGCATAAGTGAGGTGTTAAGCAACTCAGTGAGAACCCTGTCTCAAAATAAAATACAAAATAGRGGTGGGGATGTGGCTCAGTGGTCAAGTGCCCCTGAGTTCAATCCCCTGTACCCCCCCCCCCAAAAAAAAAAAAGATTATGGTTCAGTTCTCAGAAAAGGTCCATTTACATAAGTAGTTAAGGGAAATAAATCCTAATGAATTCATATCTCATTTTAGTTATTTTAAAATACATGAAACTCAGTGTTCATTTTTCAAAAATAGTTTGTGCATAACTTCTTAATTTAATAAGATCTTGAATGCTTGCTTTTATTAAGTCATTTTTTACTAAATATACATTTTTTCTCACTTTCTGATCTGTTAATTCTATTTTTATATTATTTTTATTTTTTATTTCTCAAAGAATCATTGTTTTGAGGAGTCATCTTAGGGCTAGGGTTGTGGTTCAGATATTTTGCTTTTGGATTATGTAACAGCATGAATAATTTTGTCATGTATTGGGGTTTGGATTGCTGTGTGAAGATCTGTGTAATTCAACACAATAAAAAAAGAATCTCCACCTCTCTTGCTTCAGTTTATATTTTATTTCTTGACTTTCACAGACGAAGATCTGTCAAATCCTGGACCATAATTTACAAATTTATTTCATGAGATTTTGGTGAAAATCATTGTACATGCTGCTGTACAACGAGACCTTTATGGCCACTAGGCTAGCTGAAGCTTATAGGGCYTGTATTATAAAAGAGATTTTAAAAAATGAGAGTGTGAATGATATGTAGGACATAAAAGAGGTTTTAAGTGAAAAATGTGAGAAGCTTGATGTGTTATGTATTTGAGTTCAACCTCCCACTGAATGCCATGTTATTCTCRACATACCCATGACACCACTCAATGAGTTCCATTTAAAGGGTCCTCTCATCTTTCTGATGGACATTCTGAGGAGTAGGACATTCCCTCTAGTCCATGCTATGATGAACAAATCTAGTATTTCCAAGTGGACTACTGGCCCTTCCCTAATTAGGGGTTCCAACCAAGAACTACTTGGGAACTTTCAGATTGTGTTAGCTTTCTGTTGCAGTGGCAAAATATGGGAGACAAACGACTTAAAAGAGGAAAGCTTTATTTTGGCTCGAGGTTTCAGAAATTTTAGACCATGGTCAGCTGGCTCCATTCTATGGGCTTGTGTTGAGCCAGATCATTATGGCTGAGAGGGTGTTGTGGAGCAGATCTGCTTACCTCATGGAGTCAGGAAAGTAGGGAGAAAGAACAAGTGAGGGGTTTGGGACAAGATGTACCCTTCAAAGTTAGGCCCCTAGTGACCTACTTATTCTGCCTAGGCCTCACCTCTTAATAGCCCATTCAGCTAGAACTCATCAATGGATTAATCCATTGATGAGGTTAGTGACATCATGATTGAATCACTTTCCAAAGCCCCAGCTTTGAATATTGTTGCAACAGAGACCAAACCTTCAACAACCTGAGTCTTTAGCATTCATTTCAGATGCAGACCACAACACTGATCTTGGGGGAAATTCCCTCTCATCACTTGCCTTGTCCTGGGAATCCTGACAACAGTGACAAGAGCTGCAATCCTCTGTTCTATTGGTCTGAGACCCTTCCGTCCTCCACACTGGGTCTGGGTGTTTCATTATGGCAATACAATTACTTTATAGGGGAAAGAGCCTATGCTTACTTTCACCTTCAGAACTAGGGAATCTGGCCAAAACAGGAACATGGTTAAGACAGAAACTCTTCCTTGGTGCAGATGGGTCCTTTTTAGGATGGCTGGGTTGACAAAGCCTCTTTAGCAGAGTGAGGCATTCCCAGATCCAAAAATACCCCCTTGGGTCTATCTATTTATCTATCTATCTATCTATCTATCTATCTATCTATCTATCTATCTATCTCTATATGTTCTTTTCCCTTTGTTTTCATATCTCTGTTTTTAAAGTGCTCTGAATCCCATAGTATAATATGACCTCTTTTCACTTACCCATAACAGTTGCCTTCTGGAGCTCATTTACTCTGTGTAACTCATGTAAAGTACGTGGTAGAGCACCTGGAAAACTGAGATGCTGAACAAAGGAATGAGGGAAAGAGTGCAGGAGTATCGGGGGAGGAAGGGAGAGAGAACTTTTATCCTATCTCTTTATTGGCATTCCAGGTCCCCCAAAAGTAGATGATAATAAGGTTTCTAAGACTGTGCCTCTCTCAAACACCCCAAAGTTGCCCTTGACCTGGCCCCCTCTGTGGAAGAACATAGGAAAAATTACCCTCTACACACACTGAGGCTAAGCAAGACATACAATAACAGTTTACTAAAATTTTATTGAGGATTTTTGCATCTGTATTCATCAAGGATATTGGTTTGTAGTTTTCTTAATGTTCTTCTCTGGTTCTGTTATCAGGGTGATACTGGCATTATAGAGTGAATTTGGAAGTGTTCCATATCTTTCTGTTTTAGGCACTTATAGGTGTGAAGACTGAGGACTGAGAAGCAATAGCACCTGGATTTAAATCTTGCCATTTATAGGCCAAGGGCCTTGGGCAAATAATTTAACTCTTTGTGTCTCGGTATCCGGATGTGTAAAACAGAGGTAATAATAGTATCTGCCTTATAATGTTGTTGTAAGTGGATGACACATTTTGAAAGTACATTAAATCAGTGCCTAGCACAAAATTAGCACTCAGTAAGTATTTGCTATTCTTATTCTCATCTCATTTAATTATCTGAGGAGAAAGCACTATTTCCTAGATTTTCTCACTAAGGACACGAAAGCTCACTAAAAGCAAGTGTCAGAGTCAATTTTCAAACCCTGGTCTGTCTTGTTTCCAAACCTCTACCACTTTCTGGTTGTCACATGGGCATTATTGTCCCTGAGGCTGGTGCATCCTGGAAATTCTAGCTGAGGGTTTGAAGAACATAAACTCAGCGTTTCAGTCAAAGTGACAGGGCAACTAAGGTCTTTTGACAGTTGTTAGAATGAGGTTAACCACTTCTTGCTTAGGTCAACAAGAGGTGCTTTCTGTTTCTATTTCCTGTCATTGGAAGATTATGTTTGTAAATAGCATTTTTAGGAAGTTCTCCTTCCCCCCACTTCAAAATAAACCTCCCTGTTCCTTTTCCTCCAGGAACTGACACTTAAGTTGGTATTTTGAACTGAGATAAATACCACACCTGTTTTAGTGGGATGACTTCCAGGAACAGATCGTAAGCAGTAGGTGTTATTGCTGGAAGTGCTGGATTCATGGTGGGAACTCCTGGTCATGAAAGCTCATCTGGCATTGCGTAAGGGAAGTTCATCTCAGGCGCATGATGACATTCTTTGTCCATTGAGTCATTTGATCTCCCAACCCTGACAACCAAATCTATTCCACAGTCTTGCATGGGTCCACTGACCTTGTATTCACCAAGTTCCTACTATATGCTTAGTGTAGTACTGGGACCTGTGGGGTAGCAGAGGTCAGGCTAGAGGTGTACAACACAGCAGGTACCTCTGGAAGTCTCCAGACTTACTAGAGCAATGAGATAATTCAAGTGTGACTCTCAAAAAATATTGCAAACTTGAGTGTCTTCAGGATCAGGCAGTACTTGTTACTCTTCAATGTACTAGRATTTGAAATAATGGTGAGTGGTAGAAACTGGAGTGAAATGGGCACGGTGACACCTACTCCCCCACTCCCACAGGTTGTTTGAATTCCTCAAATTCAAATGTAAAGCAACAAGGCTCTGTTGCCACATAAAGCTGGTGTGAAGCCATGTCTTGCCCACAGTCATCAGTTCTGACTCCTGTTTAATCGTATGAAATAATGATATCGATTAAGTGATGTTTGTGGAACTTAATTTCAGTCCTTTATAATCAATTCTCATACTGATTATAATAAAGTAATAATAATATAAGGTTATAATATCAGGTAATATCTGATTAGTTACCAAGATGCTGCTGTTTCTCCAGATTCCAGGATATAAGAAACACTGGAGTCTTAGGGCTGAGGGCTAAGAGGGTCTTTTGACTTTGAAGAAAAGGAAGAACAGATGGAGAAGAAGCTTGGAAAAAGTGAGGCAACTGGAGAGGGGAGAATGAGGATGTGTGTGGAGAAGGAAGTGTACATTAGGAATATATTCTGAAGTGTATTAAATATTAGGACTCACATTTTAAACTTTGTACTATAGACATTAGGGCTTGGGGACAAGAAAGTCAAGTGTCAGTCTGACAATCTTATTTAGGATAGTCTAGGAGTAGGTTAGAGACTAGGGGCATGGAGACTATGAGAAAGCCTTTGAAGAAATCCGGAAACTAGCCTTGAGCTGGGTAGG